TAGTTTTGCTACAAATTAGTTTAAGGAATGTAACCTCTCCAAGACCCCCAACCCTACCTCCTGGGTTGTGAGGGTTAAGAAAGACTATAGGACGATGCTCTGAGCATAGTCCCTGGCTCCTGGCTTAGTCTTTCTGGCTGGCTGGACTCCAGGTTTTTCTGTCCAACCAGAAAAGGGAGACTTGGTCTCCGACCTTCTACTCCCCCAAAACAAATCTGAATTTCAGGTTCCAGGCGAACCAGGTCACAATGGCAGTGGTGTGCTAGAGGCCCATCATTCTTCTACCAGATCCTTTGTCCTTCCTCTACAAATCCTGCCATCGCGCCTCCTATGGTCTGAGGGGATAGGCCTGATTCTCCCTGCACTCCACCTTCCCCATGTCCAGCGTGGTCCAGGATCACCCTTCAGCCCTGCCCTTTACAGTCTGAGGGGAAGAGGAGGGTAGGGGAAAGATATGATGGGCCACGGAGCTCACGAAGGGTTTCTCCTACTCAGGAGAACCTGGAAGAAGTTCAGTGTATATTAATAAATAGTTCCTGTGCTGAATGTGCATTTTAAAAGATCTTGAAGGACAGATACCAAAGTATACCACTTTCTAGGTAGGTGGACTTGTGGGTCTTTTTCTTCTTGTGGCATATCTACATTTTCTAATATTTCAGTAATGACTCTGAATTGTTTTAAAATAATTTAAAATCTATTTTTAAATTGAAAAGGGGAGACAAAAATGATAGTGTCCATCCATTCCTGTCAGCTAGCTTGGGACTGTGTGCTATAGAGGGAGTGTGGATGACCTGAGAATCAAGAGAGGTTTGGTTGACATCCTATTTCTGCTCCTGACCAGTGGGGCAACCTGGAATATGAGACCTCTTAACAGACCTTGGTCCTTTCATCTCTAAGTAGGAGAGCGGTACCTGTGTCACACAGTGGTAATGCAGTATATAGTCCGGGTAAGAACAACAGACTCTGGATCAGACAGACCCTAAGCTCTAGTCACATAATGACTTTTTCACGTTGCACATATTACTTGAGTTTTAGCTTTCCCATCCCTAAAATAGAGATGACAACACTACCTACCTCTTAGTCCTGTTAGAAGCCTTAATTGAGATAACCCAAATAAAGTTCTAGCCCAATACCTCGCACCCAGCAAGCCTCCTATAAACATTAGCATGTGGCAATTGCCTGACAAGCACTAGCAGGAGTTTTATACATGTGATTCCCATCTCTTCTTTCCCTTTTCTTCCTCCGCAAAGCAAGAAGCAGAAGGGAGGGTACAGGTGAATAGGGAGGTGGACAAACAGGAGGGGAAAAAGAGAAGAGCAAGGAAAGAAGAAAGCAAAGGACAAGGGTTCTTTATCCTAAATGATCTTTGGTCTCTTCTGCAATAGTGTCCTCGCCTCCTCATCACCTTCCCCCAACACACACATAAACCTAGTTTGCTTCTGGAAGCAGATGAAGCAGACAGACCAGTCTTTGTGGCCAACCACTCAAGAAGCCCGTGTCCCCAACTGGTATCATCTTCACACTTTGCTCCTTTGCCCCCAGCAGGGACTTCTGAAGGAGTTGATCCCTAATCCTTCTTTCTCCTCAGCCCAGGCAGGGGAGACAGGACTGCACACAGTGAGCCATTTTCCCATTAGGGGAGTCCTAGGCGGAGGGTACCAGAATTTAGGGTTTTCTTTCTGGCAAAGCCAGACCACTACCTCATCACCTCCATCACTTCCAGAGGAAGGACTGGGAATACAGCAGTTGGTTTTTAGAGCGGTTCTGCCATCCTCAGCTGTACGGACACCATAAAGTCCTGAGCCACTTCCTCACTTAAACTTCTTGCTTCCTCTGTCCATAAGTGGGTTTAATTGGGGGATAGATATGTAGTTGTGCATTTTCACGTGTGCTGGAGATGGGTCTTCCCAGCATCACCTCAGTCTCCCACGTGAGTGGGTGGGTGGGTGAGTGGCAGGCTTGAGAGGGAGGTTGCTTTTTGCCACTCTTAAGTGTGAGATATAAGAGAGTAAGTAGGTCCTAAAGGCTCAGAGGAATTTCAGCATTTGCATAGGAAGGCCCAGGGCACACTGGGTCCTTCCCTTCCTGAATTCTTTCTGCTTGCCTTCCCTTGGTATGAATGACCCTTTGGCTGAAAATCAGAGTTCCCAGGGTCGTGGGGTTCATCCTGCAAGTTGGAAGTGAAATGTAAGATGCTTAGAGGGAGGCACTAACTGGCTTGAGAGAACTCTGGATGGGGGAGAACCCTCAGAGGCACTCCCTCCGGGTTGAGGACCACTCACCCACTCTCCTCCCAAGAGGGAGCAGGTAATGGAGCTAAAAGGCAGGACTCCCCCTTAAATTCTAAGAGACACTCCCCTATTTCTTTCCACTAGCCATAGAGCCTCTGTGACTCTTTCTCTTCCCTACCTTCAGCCAAGGCCATGGTTATCAGGAGTCTGAACTCTGTGAAAAAGATTCTTGTGTATTTTTAAGCCAAGGAGTTGGAGGTGTGTGGGGGGGAAGGGAGGAGGTTCATAAAAGGCCTGGGCTGGGAAAATGGGTTAGGGGAGCCAGAGGGAGGAAGCCACATATGAATGGGGGAGGGGAGGATTCAACAGCTGGATGGAAAAGGTGAATGCCACAGCTGTAGGGGATTAGGGGCTTCACAGCAGGAAGGGGAGGGGGGACCATTGCCTGGGCATTCAGGAACAGGTGCTTTCTGCCTATAATCCTCAGGTGCAGCTTGCTAAATGTGTGCGGAGGGAGGATCCGAGGGGGTCGCTGGGCACACCAGGCCTTGTCCGTCCTTCCTTTCCTTCCCTCTCAGGGGCCAAAACTCATCTCCCTTCTTCTCTCGTTCCCTTCCCGGGGATGAGTGGGAGGAGAAGAGGATGGTCTCTGGCCCTCTGTGCTTAAGTCTGTTCCCCAATCATTCCCCGCTCCCCCCAATCCAGTCCTTTTCAGCTCTTGAGGCTCTTCATTTCCAAGCTGGGCCGCGGCGTCCCTCCGCTCCGTTCCTCTCCTTTCCATCCCCCTAGGCGTCGGGTCCACATCCACAGTTCCTCCATCCCCACAGCCTCAGCATCCCCGCTGTACCCTCCCCCACCCCGCCACATCTGCATCCCAACCCTCCCTCGGCACCCAGATCCCAGGACCCGGACCCACCCCTGCCCCTCACCCCCCACAACTCGGTCCGGCTCTCTCACCTCGGGGGCTCCGCGGCCGCAGCACAAAAGGCGGCGCTGCTGCAGCTCAGCTCCGGATGCTGCTCCCTCCTCCTCCTTCTCCTCCTTCTCTCCTCCCCCCGCTGCCCTCGACCGGACCCGGGGTGCCGTCACAGGCGATGCTCGTGCAGTGTCCGGGTGTCCGCCCCAGATTTCTCCCCCCACCCCCCGACCCCTAGCCCCGTCCCTACTCTGCTTGAACTCCCGCTCCTTCCCAGGCCCCCGCCCCTGGCCCCCCGGGACGGACACGCCCTGAGCGGGGGATGCTGCGCTGGAGCCGCCGGCCTCTTAAAGGAGCCCGCTGCTGCCATCCGGCGCACTCCAGGCTCGTCGGTGGCCCGTCTGGGTTCCTCACCTCCCCGTTGGCGGTCCCACCGTGGGCCTTTTGCGATTCCGCAGAAGTCACCTAAGACCGGTCTTACAAACTCCCTCCTATACCCTGAAGCAGTAGCCCCTCAGATGGGAAACCGCCAACCCCTCCCCCCAACCCCGCGCTAGCGTTGCTCCCCCTGCCCTAACAATTTGGGCAGCTTTCCTTCCCCTAATTGTCACCACTCCAGTTCCACCCAATGGGAATCCACTCAGCTCAATGCCCCGTCCTCCTTCCGTGTTCCTGGGTGACCCCCTCATTATTCCAAAATTCCTCTGGACCTCCACCCCAGGCTCAGAGCAAGTGATCTCTTCCCTCACCCACTCTCATTAGAATCACATTTTTTGTGCTCTTTTTCTCTCCAAAGGTCACAAGATTTCCCCTCATCTTTCAGCCTAATAGTTGTGAGACTTTGGGGAACAGGTAATGGAGCTCTGAAACCTAGATTAGTCGATTAGTCTCTTGCTCTCTCCGAGAGACCCAAGACCCACAGCGGAGGGAATGAGACCATCATGTGCCTTAGTCCTTCCAATTCTGTCGCCCTCCTAATTCTCAGGCTCCAGAGGGTTCTCTTGGCAGCTGCAGAAAGGTGGACTAGGGCCATTTTACAAACGCTTTAGAAAAGTGGAAACCTGACAGACTGCAGGGCAGAATTAAATGGGATGAGAGGTGAAGGACAACCTAGGAAAAGGACGCAAGTTCTGTAAGACGAAGGCCCGAACTCCAGGGGCTTAGGTCGACGGCTGGGGGTGGACTGCCTGGGGTGGACTGCCTGAGGTGGACTTTGACGTACAACTGTCCCCGCGATCCGAGGGGCAGAGAAGAGTGCTCTCCCGCGTTCTGGTAAGGCCCACCCTCGCAGTCCGCAGAAGAGTCAGGATCCGACAGCAGTTTCATCACTAGGCCAATCACAACCTTTTCTGAAGAAAGAGGCGGGGTCAAAGGGACTGACTCTTTCCTTGTCGCTGCCCTTCTAGGTGAAGTAACCAATCGCAATCCACCTAGAGCGAGTAAGCGCAATAGAGAATAACCAATTATGCCAGGAAGCTTCCCGTGCATGCTTGACCCTGCCCCTCCAGCTGCGACAAAGATGACGCGTGAGCTCCTGGGTACTGTAGTTTTCTCAGTATTTGGAGCTCTCCACTTCCACCCCATTGCTCGAATTAGCCCTTACCGCCCCGCCCCCTGCCGCTTCCACTCTGCTAGTACGCATGTCCAGGGGAGACGAGACACGGAAAGGAGGAGGCGGGACAATATGTAAAACCGACAAACAAACAAACAAAACCACCCCAAGCCTGGGTCACTACTGTGCAGATGTTCACTCCTCCTAGAAGGCGGTACTGCCCGCTAGAGCGAACCACGCTGAGGGTTGTGGGGTGAATCGTTCCCCTCCTGATGGAGACTCTTGGAATCGGGTGGGCGGGGGACTCCATATCCCAGCATGCTCCACGGCGGGCCCAGCCGGCCGCAACTCGGGGCTTGGCCCCGGCCCTAGCGTGTCGGCGTTGTATTGGGGCGCGCGGAGGCTGAAGTCACTGTGGTGCCCGCGGGGACGGAGGAGGGAATGAGTGAAGAGGAGCAGGGCTCCGGCACTACTACAGGCTGCGGGCTGCCCAGGTGAGCGGCCTCGTACCGACCGCTGCAGGGCGAAGAGCGTGGCGCGGCGCGGACGGGTAGCGGCGCGGCCCCAGCATGCATCTGGCCTGAGGGTTGTTCCCGGCAAGCACTGGGGTAGTGGGCCGTGGTTCCCAGCATTCACCCGAGCGGTGGCCACTGCCTCCAGCTCGAAATAGTTTGGGGCTGGCCCGGTTCCCAGACTGCACTGGGGCGTTGGGCTTTATGCTCCGACTTTCAGTGCATTTGGTGGGTACTGGGTTCTTGGCCTGCACTGTGTTAGGGGACATGCATTTCCAACCTGCACTAGGGTACAGGATCCCCCACCTTAACTGCGACAGGAACAGTGCATTCCCCGCCTACCCTGGGGTAGTGGACCCTGCTTTCCCAGCCTGCACCTCCATTCTACATTGAACCCAGTCTATGGCTGCTGTCCTGCCTGGGGTTCCCTGGACCCTGTGACCCCCATATTGTTCCTGGGTTTGATATAGCAGTGCTTGGCCAGGTGGGTGCAGAGAGGGGAGGTGTGATGAGGGTCTGTGCCCCTCCCCCCAGTATAGAGCAAATGCTGGCAGCCAACCCGGGCAAGACCCCGATCAGCCTTCTTCAGGAGTATGGGACCAGAATAGGGAAGACGCCCGTGTACGACCTTCTCAAAGCCGAGGGCCAAGCCCACCAACCTAATTTCACCTTTCGGGTCACCGTTGGCGACACCAGCTGCACTGGTGAGGAAGGCTTGGGCCAGCTTGGCTGGGGTGTGCATTCACAGGGCCCCATTGGCTTTGTTTCTTGGAGTCTCTTCACAGTCCTGTTCTCCAAGAGCAGTTAGGGAGGGAGCGATTTCAGAGGGAAAGGCCACCACTTGGATTGGGAGAACAGGTCTAAGAGGAGGTGGGTAGAACTTGGAAGAGTTAGAGGAGCAAGCAGGATTGCCATAGTGATCTGGCAGATCGGCATCATCCTGGAGGAAAGAGAGGAGATAAACCACAATCCCAGCCAAGTATTTAAGGGAGTGAGTGTTGGCTGTCCTGGGCTCTGTTGCAGGTGCTTAACCAAATTCCTATTTAATCACCAACCTCAGTCTAATCCACTAATGAAAGTGGTAGTATCCTCATGTTGAATATGATGAGACTGAGGCTCAGAGAGAGTCAATAACTGGTGCAAAATCACAGGCTTAGTAAGTGGTAGAGCCAGGCTTTGACTCTAGAGCCTACCTTCTTTCTATTTTTCCAGCCATCTCTATTGAGAGAAAAAGCTTCCCAGAGGAAAGTAAGGTAGTGAAAGAATCTCCACCCAAGGTGTCTGAGCTCAGGAGCAGTTCTGTTTGGCATGGCTTGAATCGGGGAGCTCACAGGAAGATAAGGGCCCCTCCTTTCAGCAATTAGTATAACACTTTCAGTCTTGGACAGGGGGAGGTCAGTGAGAAGGGGCTTGGTTGACTCCCTGTATAGCTGTCAGGAGAGAGGCTGTGGGATGCTGGTTTCTCTTCTGTCCTTCCAGTGACCTCCAGTATTGCCCACGCCCCCTCTCTCAGGTCAGGGCCCCAGCAAGAAGGCAGCCAAGCACAAGGCAGCTGAGGTGGCCCTCAAACACCTCAAAGGGGGGAGCATGCTGGAGCCGGCCCTGGAGGACAGCAGGTGAGGGAGGAACAGCTGAGGCATCCTAGAGGCCCTGCCAGGAGGAACCCAGGCCCCTGCACCAGGAGGCCTGGCCTGGTGACACTTAGCCACCTTGACCTGGCCTCTTCCTGAGTTTCCTCTGGCCCTGAGCAGGATGCTTCCAGGGCTCTTGCTGCTGGGGGGAATGGCCAGCTCCACTGAGGGATTTGTGGCTGTGGCTAGGGAGGGAGAGGGGTGGTGGCTGAGGCTGGAGGGAGTTGCCTTCTCTGTCTAGCAAGATGCCCTTTCCTCTTCTGCACTCAGGTTGGAGTTTGTTGTTCCCATGTTTCTTGGGTAGAAAGAGACCCTCTTCCTCCTTTTCTCGGTCTTTTTGATCCGATGTTTGGCAGCAAAGGATCCCAGGAGGAAGAGCTGGTGATTGAGCTTCCCTGAGTCTTTGACTCCAGTGGGAAGGAATTTTCTTAGAGGATGGGCAGGTCAGAAGGACCTGGGTCCCCCACCCTTCCACTGCACAATGCCCCCCGCCCCCCTCAATATGTGGGTGTGAATCAAAGGCCCCCTTCCCCTCGGGAAGTTCTTTTTCTCCCCTAGACTCTTCACTGCCTGAGGACTTTCCAGTTTTTACTGCTGCAGCGGCTGCTACTCCTGCTCCATCTGCTGTCCCAACCAGGTATTTTGTGTCTACTGGCTGCCTGAGACGGGGAGGGAGGGGTCCTGGCTCCTGGGCCCCAGCCTTTGGACCCAGGCTGGTCAGGCACAAGGAAGTCTGAGAGTAAACAGAGGCTGGACTAGGTGGGGACCAGAGTTTGAAGAATTTGCACCAGCTGGTAAGCTCTTGGGACAGGAGGTAATTAATGATTTTTAAATAGCTATATGGATGATGTCTGACCATGTTTAAGGGTGTTGCAGGCCCTGTTTTCTTCTGGGCTGGCCCTATGATGGCCCGGTGTTGTGTTTGAGTCCCAAGTCCCATCTGGGGCTTCCAGGGACTGGATATTGCAGCCCCCGCACCCCCCATCCTGGTGAGGTGATGACCACGTGTTCCAGAAAATTGAAATGGGCCTGGGACCTGGAGGAGACCTCACTTGCAGGGGAGGGAGAAGGAGGCCGGCTGGAAGTTTGGGCAGATAGCTGCCCACCCTGCTGGAAGTAGGGAGATGATAGTGGGGGAAACCAAAACAAGGCTTAGAACTCCTGGGCAGCAGCAAAACAAACTAGCCCCCTCAGCTTTGGCCCTGGGCCCTTTTTCCCTCAGGAGCCCCCCCATGGAGGTGCAGCCCCCTGTCTCTCCTCAGCAGTCTGAGTGCAACCCAGTTGGTGCTCTGCAGGTGTGCCCCCATCCTCATTTCCTGTGCATGCCTGTCCTCCCTTGAACGAGGGACTATGAGGGAAGGTTATGGGGGGTGGTTACCCTGTTCTCAGGGCTTTTTCCATCCCCTTCATTCCTGCTCTAACCTGGATTCTGAGGCTGTAGGGTAGGAGGGAGAGGATGTTTGGACTCTTCTCACTCAGCCTTGTGCACCTTTATTTCTCCCTTCCAAGGAGCTGGTGGTGCAGAAAGGCTGGCGGTTGCCTGAGTACACGGTGACTCAGGAGTCTGGGCCAGCCCACCGCAAAGAGTTTACCATGACCTGCCGAGTGGAGCGTTTCATTGAGATTGGTAACTGGGCAGAAGGGAGTTCTTGCAGCTACTGTCCCCAGCACTCCAGTCCTGGCCACAGGCAGCACCTAGCCTATCTGCTACAGTCCCGCTCTCCTGGCTGAGACCCTCAGCTTGGCTCCTTCCTCTTAGCTTCTTCCTTGAACCCCATTGTCCCCCCTCTCCTGGTCTACCAAATTCTCAGGTTCATGGCAGGTCTTAAGCTCCCCTTTCCAATCGACACCTCCTAAGGGGACCCTCAACCCAGGTTTGAGCTGGGTGGAAAGCCCTGGGTCTACTGGGAGTTGTAATCCAGTAATCTTCCCCCACACAGGCAGTGGCACTTCCAAAAAGCTGGCAAAGCGTAATGCAGCAGCCAAAATGCTGCTTCGCGTGCATACGGTGCCTCTGGATGCCCGGGATGGGAATGAGGCAGAACCTGAAGATGATCACTTCTCCATTGTGAGTGGCTTGTGGGCCATCCTCCACACCAGGCCAGGGCAGTGGGGACTTGGTTCTGTGATTTGGGAGTGAGCCTTTCTGGGTCCCACGCTTGCTTCTGTTTATTTTTCCTAATGGACCCTGGGTTCTGGGGGACCCCTCTCAGCTTCAGCTGTAGGCCCACCTGCTGTGTGCTGTAGGGAAGCGGGCCTGGTATGGGGACCTGCAGGCTTTTGTTCTTGGGACTTGCAAGTCTGCCTGGCCATCCGGTCCAGGGTCTAGTAGTGAGAAGGGGCCATATGGGGATTGTTTGAGGGGAGGCAAGCTGAAGGTACTGTTCTTTGGGCTTTTCTTTCCTTGGACATTAAATGTCTGTTAAATGCCTGGGTCTTCTAGCCCAATGCCACATCTTTCTCACTGTTTCTATCTCATCAGGGTGTGGGCTCCCGCCTGGATGGACTTCGGAACCGGGGTCCAGGCTGCACCTGGGATTCTCTGCGAAATTCAGTGGGAGAGAAGATCTTGTCCCTTCGCAGCTGCTCCCTGGGCTCCTTAGGTGCTCTGGGCCCTGCCTGCTGCAGTGTTCTCAGTGAGCTTTCTGAGGAGCAGGCCTTCCATGTCAGCTACCTGGATATTGGTATGGCTAGTTGGGGGGCCGGGGGATGGTGGGGACTGGACCAGAGCAAGTACAGATGGGTATAAGGAGTCAGGGAGGGCATGATGATGACGCGGACCACCCCTCCGGTGCTTCCCTCCCACCCAACACTGCTTCCCTCCTCTCTCTTGGTCTCCAGAGGAGTTGAGCCTGAGTGGGCTCTGCCAGTGCCTGGTGGAGCTGTCGACACAGCCAGCCACCGTGTGTCATGGCTCTGCAACCACCAGGGAGGCAGCTCGAGGCGAGGCTGCTCGCCGTGCCCTGCAGTACCTCAAGATCATGGCGGGCAGCAAGTAAAGCTCCAGCTGGACACATGGACATACACCCTTGCTCCCTGCTCTTCCTGCCTCAGCCTGGGCATCTGCCCAGCTGTGGTACCCCCGGAGGTGCCATCTCTACTTCTGACACAGACTGCCTCCCTGCAGGCCGAGGAGGGCATGGTGCCAGGAGCCAGAGACCACAGTGCCTCAGTGGCCCAGCATCTGTCCTCATGTTACTAGTAATGATGAAGGGAAACGAAATTTGTCACTGTCCCTTAGAGCCCAGAATAAATGTGCTACTCCTTGGATTCTTAACCCTTGTCTTTCTGTTACCCTGAGTAGTTGATGGCAGAGGTTAGTGCCAGATCACCTCCCATGTTGTGCCTCCCACCTTGTTCCCCGCATGTCCCCACAGGTGCTTTTCTGGTGGCAGGAGGCGGGGTACAGTGACTTTGGGAATCCCATCACCTGTGTTCCTGGAGAGTTTGGTGGAGATAGAGGGGCTGTGGTTCTTGCCCTGGGCTCCCTCCCAGCCCTTTCAAGTCTCAGACACAGACATCTGGATTCAGAAGCCAGGCAGCTTTATTGGGCGGGGGTGGGGGTGGGCATGCACTTTTGGGTATGGGCCTTCCATGCAAACATATCAAGGGATGACATGTTACTTCTTCCCAAAGCGCTGAGGGGCAGCCAGACTCCAGAACAGGGAGTTCAGCCCCTCCCCAGCTCGGGTACTCAGCCGTTCGTTTCTCCAGGAGCCCCGGTTGTTTCTGCCAAACCTTAAGAGAGATCCATCCTTAGCTGAAAGTCCTTCCAGGCCTCCCCTTCTCCAGCTCCCTCCCTCTTCCTCTGGCCCCAGCTTTGCTGGTGTCCCTCAGACTCACCTCTGGGGCTGAAACAGGAAGGCTGAGCTCCGACTGGGTCTCTGCATGGCCTGGAGCAGGGAGAGCAAGAATGACCCAGGGGTCTCGGCATCTTGTGCAGGGAGGGGTCCAGGGTCTTCCTCCTGTGGTACAGGGATATCCAGGAGGGAATGTGGCCAAACGCTTTTGACATTCAGGTCACTAGAAGAAGGATTTGGCTTCCAGTGGCAAGTTGTAGGAGGCTAAGGAGCCCTTTCCTCAGATGTGAGGACCCAGTGAACACCCTGGCCACTAGAGTGAAGCTAGAGCACAAATCTCAAGCTGAGGGAGAGGGAAATAGTGATGTGGGGAGGGGGTGCTAACTTACTGCGAAGATCTGACTTCCATCCCGGTCCCTTGGTTCTTCAGCGTGGCCCCAGTCTGTTATTAAAAGCAGCACCACCAGCAGCACTGCTGCCTGCCTGGAATCCATGCTGTCATCTGCCTTCCTACAGCCACATCTGCCTCTTATACCTGCTGTCCCCCAGTTCCCCACCCCACAGCAGCCTGAGGGGGAATACAGAACAGGCAATGGAAATGCACGGCTCCATTAGGAGCCCCTGGGATCCCCTCCCATTGCCCCTCCGGGACTTCCTGCTCCCAGCCTCCGGCCCCAGCCCCTAAGTCTGAAGTTACAGACTTTATTAGATGCATAAATCCTGTCTCCAGAGCTCAAGAAGCATCATTAATTGCAGATGCTTTGTCAGAGCCAGGCCCTAGGGGGCTTTTAAGAACCCCCAATCCCTCAACAGGTTGGAGAGCTCCAATTGATCACCTCCTCTCTTTTCTAACTTGGAGAATAAAAGCATAAAGAAAGTCCTGTCAGGAAGGGCTAGGTATTGTGTCCTGAAACAGAGGGAGTAGGGGAAAGAGCCCAGGTTGGAAATGACCAGGATGACCCAGCCTGGTTCCTCCCCTGGCTGGGGCTGTTGTCAGGGTCACCCAGCCCATTCACACCATTTGTGTGCCTCTTGGAGGGTTACAATGGGAGCCACTACTCTGAGATTTGTCTGTGGATAGAAAAGTGTTATATAGAAGGGAGTGAAAAGAAATCCTTGTAGATAGACTCCATCTTCACTCCAGAGCACTGCTTAGGACCTGCCTCACCTGGGCCTAGGAGCCATCCTCCGCAGCCAGGGCACTGCTGCCACCCTGTGGTCACAGCTCCACACTGTCAGGTCCAGCCATTTCCTTTTTCTGGAATAGAGCTCTATGAAGAGTCAGACGGGAGGATCCTAAGGTCCTGATTCTAAGGAGTCGCAGAAAGGCAGGGGCAGAATACTGGAGTTGGACTATCATTTTGTCCACCTCCATCTTGTCACCCCTATCTTTGCCAGGCTCTGACCTACTGGGGCAGGAGACTAGAATCCAGCCTTAGGGAAGATCTGCCTCTCAGGAAGGGAATCCTTCCCTCCTGATCCTAGGATTCCTTCCACAGCATCCCCACCAGAATGGTTTTTTAGCCTATGAATCTGCCTTGGGCAAGCGATCTACTTCTCTAAACTGCAGTTTCTTCACCTAAAATATGGCAACATTAAGAGGAAATACTTCCTAGGGTGAGCATCATTTGAGATACAATTGGTCATCCATTCAGTACAAGATCTAACACAAAGCAAGTGTCCTGAAAACATTGGCCATGAGAGGCCTCATACACTTGAGTCCCAGGAACTTACCATCTCCTGAGTCTCCAGACAGATTTATCCTTGCACTGAGCTGGTTTCCGTCTCCTTGTGGCCTCCACCAGGGGGTCTTAGTTTGCCTTATTGCCTCACAGAACATCTCTCGATTCTTTGATGTATGCAAGCCTTTCTTAGGTTTGAAGACATTTCATTCTACTGTGTATATATATATATATATATATTTTTTGGCTCAAGGGGAAGCGCTCCCCCCACCCCTGCCTCTTTAAAGTTAGGCATTTATAAACCAATTTGTATTTGGAGTAGACAGATCAGAGCAGGTTTTGATCTGAATGTTATAGACACTACATTCCATTAATGCAGCCTAAACTAGGGTGAACCTTTCTGTAAGCTTTATCTCATGGCTAGTCCCAAGCACAGAACCTGATACTCATCATCACATCTTGTAGTTGCACCACTTCTTAAATGGAGTATTAAGACCATAGTAGATGGTTCTGTGGTTCCACAGTGAGGCCCCCGTGTTCTCATCTGACTGAAGTCCAGAGGAGCCGAGGGTGTGTGGGGCGCTGCAAAGAGGGGCTCTGGGGTCAGACAGAACTCAGTTTTGATCCCAGCTCCTGGCACTTCATTGTTTGCTTTTGGCAAGTGTCTTAACCTAAACCTCACTTTATCATCACTAAAATGAGGCAACTATTCCTGTTACCAAGAGGTTGCTGTGCACAGTAAATGAGGCAAAACATCTAGCGTTCCACCTAGCAAAAAGCAGGCGCTCAATGAATGTTTACCACTCTGCTGCTTTTCTACTATTTTTCTGATCACCAAGCACAACGCTACCTGAGCTGAGGCTGCATCAAGAAAGGAGGTGATCTAGCTGGCTTCCTACATCTGGGATGGAGGTGACTGGTTAGCGGTTGGAATGGATTAATTCTGCTAACATGGGAAACCGCCCCCTGCCTTCAGTCTCATCTCTATCTCCCAAACCTCTTAATCTTGATTTTAGTATTTGGTCTTCAGTAACTCTCTTTCTTTCCTTCTCTGGACCCCCATGTGTTCCTGACCACAACACAATGAAGACCACCACTGCCTAAGAGACTCGGTTTCCTTATTTGTGTCAATTATGTCAAGTATCAGCCACAGCCAGCTTCTTAGATAATTTCTCTCCTACTGGGAAACCCTCAGAGGCACCTGCTCTTTCCCTGTCAAGTTCTTCAATCTGGCTTACTCTACTCACTTGTGACAATTATTAAGGATTACACAGATGCAATTAGTAGCGAATGTCCTATACCTTCTTACTCATATGGTTCCTAAGCATTACCTCTTTTTCTTAACAAGTCTCTTACCTGCTTCTAACCAATGCCCCCATCCTCCATACCCACAGAACTCATACAATCATAGAAAGCTTCTCTTTTGGTCTGTGTATCCCCCAGTCATGTCAGACGCTTTTTGTTTAAAAAAAAAAATTGTTGGGAAGGGGTGGGGATAAAACACTGCAAGGTAAGAGGACACTTGTCTCCAAACACCATCCCATCCCCCACCCTCATAAAGCCACACAAGTTCTCGTGTGAGCTTTCCGATGATGCTGAGGGCCCTTGTCCCCAGGGCAGTGCACAGATCTAAGCCCTGGTCCCTGTGCTTTGTTACATAATTTATATAAACACCTCGCTTTCTCTAGACTGTTTTTACTGCATGAAAAGGAAGGATAGGAATCCTGGCTCCTCTGTTCAAAGAAATGGGAGAGTAAGGAAAATCACAGGCACGAAAGCCCAATGGGCTCCCAGAAAGAGTGGATAATGGGATGTGTAGATCAGAGTATTGAAGTATCAGACATAACAGTGGTTCTCTCGATAGTTTAATGTTATATTTGCAGCATAAATAAGGCACAATATATGTCAGGGCAAGGGAAAGAGGGAAAAGGCATGGCTGGGGGATAACTGCTAAGTGGCAAGGGGGAAGGCAGAAGGGATGGCTAGGGAGAATAGAGCGAAGACTCTGCCTCAGCCCCGTCCTGGGAGATTGTGAGAGCCTGCTCACGGGGAAGATGCTGAATTGAGTGGAGGGGAAGGGGAGATGGTTTTGTAACAAAATAGCCTGTAGCATTGCATGCTCTCACCTGTCAAAGTTCACCACTGGGGACTGGGGAGACTCAGTCCTACAATGGAGTTCCTTGATGAGATAGAGAGGTTTTGCTACATGTCAAAGATACACAGATGAGCAGAGATATAACTACTGATAGACACTGTTTTCTTTTCAACAGATACTATGTCAGGAGGCTGCAGCCTCCACTGCTCGGGCTGGAGGCTCATCTCCCTGCTGAAGGGGGTGTGCGTTTGGTGTGTGTATGAGAGAACAGGACAGCTAAAACTCCAGCTGGTCCTTCCTGCAACAAAGAGCATGGAGTGACCAGTCTGTAAGGGAATATGGAAGAGCACCTGTCCAGACTGATGCAAGACAGGTTTTAGGAAAAAGTAGGATGAAGACAAACCTAAATTTTGAGATGAATAATGTGGTTGTTTCATGGGAGTGGAGAGAGGGACTGGAGGAAATGGAAAAACACATATGTTAGTGCTAAGGCAGAGGATGGTACTTAAATAGTCTTGATACCCTACAAGAACTTTCCGGCTTGCCCCAAAGGCGATGGTTCTCAAACTTTAGTGTAAGAATCACTTGGAGTGCCTGTTAGAGCCCATCCCCAGAGTTTCTGATTCACTAGGTTAAGGGTGGGGACCAAAAGTACATTTCTAACAAGTTCTCAGATGCTGGTGCTGCTGGTCCTGGACCATGTTCTGAGAACCACTGCCATAAGGCAGTCAATGAACTAGTGCTTGTAGCCATTTCTTACAGCTAAAACATCACTCACCAGTAGGAACTAATGCTGGTAGATATCTCTGTGCTATCAGCCCCCATTAAAAAACAAACCCTAGCAGCTACAATGCAAACCTGCACCTACAAAGGACATAAGCTGCCTTGACCTTCCCTTCTCTCCGCAGCCTTTTCTCATTTTGAGGGTAGGACTTTACCCCAAAGAGGGATGAATGGACTGCTAGAGAGGGTGGGAATGGTGGTTGGCAGCCACCTATGCTCATTCCTGCTGGGTCAGCAGCCAGTGGGGTGGAGGAGGTGGGGATTTATGTCTGTGTGCACGTGTGTGTTGTAAACAGAAACAGAGAGAATTCCGTACTCTGAGGGGATTAAGGTTGTGGGAGGCTGGGGGTCCTCACTTGTCTTGTTCCTCCCTCCACCCCTGTCAAACAGAAGTCTAAAGAAAGCTTTAGAAAGAGCACATCAATCAAGACATATGTGATACAGCTAGGAGGATGGGATTCTAAACAGACTGGTTATGAAATTAAAAAAAAAATACATTTCTTTCCTGTGTATACAATGTACAATATTAATGGAAAATAAGGATTTGGGGATGGAAAGGAGGCTATGAAAAAAAGGGAGAACTTTTGGGGGAAGAGCTGTCTCAGGGCTAGCACCTTTAGAGGAGCTCCTCAGTGTGGAACACAGGAGCCTCAGAAACCAGAGGAGGAATATCTTGATGTCTGCGTGATGCTTCAGGCTGCAGACAGGGAGGGCATGGTTTTGATTAAGTACCCCATCCACCAGGATGCGTGGTGCTGGAGGGCAGTGAATCAGGAAAGGAGCCAAAAGCAACACAACAGGCAAAGGGAAGGTGGCAAGGTGAGGTTCAGTTAGGTTATCTCTTTACTACCACCGAGAGTATAGGGTCTAGTGCTTAGGGCCAAGAAGATGAGTACAGGTTGAAGGAAGCCAGATTTGGGTTATACAACCAACAGGGAAAGAGTAAGTAAAAAAAGTCCTACTCTTTCTAGTCCACCCTAGTTGTAGGGGAGGCTTTTTCAGACTTATCAACTCTAAGCAAGCTTTCAAAGGAATGGGGCGGAAAGTCCGCATTCTAGAAGACCTAGTTCTGGCCTCTTTCTCTATGGCCTTGGTTATCTAGCAGCTGTGTCTTTGGAGTGAAGTGAGAGACCTGAGTCGTGCGTTCATGTAGAAGAGCCCCAAGAGTCCATACTCCCAGCTTCTTTCAGAGTGTCTTTCCTTAAGTCCCTAGAAAGGCCATGGTTCTTAAGAAGGGCTAAGTAACATCCTCCATGATGCTGGATTCTGGTCCAGGTAAGTCTGGAAGGCAAAGATAAGGGAGAGCAACCACAGGGCTGGCAGCAGTAACAAGATCAATGATGTTCCACTTGACTATAAGAGAGGCTTCAGGGTTAGCAACTGCTAACCTTGGTGAGACTGTGGACCAACTAAAGAGCTGTTGGAGGGTTCTATCCCGCCCCTTCCTCATGTCACTGCGGCTTTACTACGCTGGTTCTGTCAACACTCCTCATTTAGGACCCTGACACTGACTTCCTAAGGACGAAAATGAGAATTAGACATGGGCGTTCAGAATTAGACATAATTTTCATGTCTGATTCAAGAGAATTAGACACGGGGGTTAAGAAGGTAAATAAGACCCTCTATATAAACTAGCCATCCTACTCAGGGACAGACTGGCAGGACTCAAACTGTCTCCAAAGCCAAGCAGTGAGGCAGGGCATGTGTACAGTGACAAACTGATTCTTAACTTGAAAAACACTTGACTGAAGGGGGAAGAAAAATAGTGAAGAGTCTTATGAAGGCTCCTTAGGAGTCATAAACTCAGTCAAGCTTAAGGGCAAGCCTGCTAGTGGGAAATCGAGATCATAAAAAAATGAAACAAAACTAAAGCAGGAGAAAAGCCCAGGGAGCAGCCGTCTAAAAGATAAGTCCTGAGCACAAGTTATGGCTGTGAATTTTTAAAGGCAAGTGGAGTCCCTGGAGGTGGTAACCTGCATCCTGACCATCTGCCATGCCATTTGCTAATCTCAGCCTCCTCAGGGGCTGTTCCTTTTGGGTCCCGGGTGGTAGAGGATGAGAAAACCATGTTTTCTCTCCTTTCTCTTCACCACATGTGGCTTGTTTAGCACAGGCTCTGAAAAGCAGGAGGGAAAATTAAAAACCAATGCAGTAGAACATGTCATGACTGGCTCACCCGTTTATCACTCTGAGGAGATGGGAATCTTGTAGCTTAGAACATTTCCTCATTCCCCTACGACCCCCAATTTTAGAAGACAAATAATAAAGGAAGCTGGGAGTTATTTTGTATGTATAAGATGGAGGTAGGAGAGATGGAGAAAAGGACATTCTTGGCTTTGGCAGATGGCAGAAGGTGGCTCTGGGACAATTGGAAGGGTTTCATACTGAAGAGCTATTAAAGCTGACATATTTATCCACAGGCCCCTGGCTTTGGATTGCTTCCTATGGCCCTGATAGAAATTGCATAGTTCAAAGCCAAAGGAAGATGAGAAGTCTTCATGGGGAAGAAAGAGAGACAAGAGAGATGAATTTCCCCTCTGTAACTCAACTCTTCAAATATAAGAATGGCTGAGAGCAATAGTCACCAATTTCTCAGGCAGGCTAGACCCTTCAACAAGCAGGGCTCTTTTACTGAGATTACTACTGCACCTGCCAATCAGCAGCCTCCTCTTATCCAACCAACCATCTTGGTTATAATGCCTCAGAGTCTTGGGGCTTGGACACTGGAGAAGCATTGCATCTAGGGGGAAGAGAGGAGAAAAGAATCGAAGAAATGTTGCAGAACCAGAGAGACCTGGTGGCTAGGCTAGGAGCATGCTGAAAGAGAGAGAAGGCAGACCCAGAGGGCATGGGATGCTTGTGAATATAAGACCCTAGCTCAGAAAAGATGACAGATGTGTGAGGCTGAGAGATGAGGGAAAAGTGAGGGGGCTACACAACAGCTTCTATGGGGCTGCATCTGAACTAGTTATGAATGAGACAGGCGATAATGTGGTCAGGGGAATGAAGAGGGAGAGGCAGGAGTGGAAAGATGAGCAAAAGGACGAAGTACGCTTTGGTCAGTAAACTTTTATAAAACATAAAAGAATCAATCCAGTAACCTGATGTAATGAGCTTTCCTGCCTGACCTGAAAATAAGACTGAAGAAGGATGGAGCAGAGAGGGGAGGAGTCAGCCAATCAGATCCTGGGCTCTTCCCCCTTTCACTACCAAGCGCTATCTAATAAGGCCACAAGATAAGACTGCGAAGGCTTAGTGGGAGATGGGAAAGGCCCCAGCACTAGATTGGGAAAACTCAAGAGACAAAATGTGGTACCCAAATAGCTCTGGAAATAGATAAAAAAAAGGATCAGAACTCTTGGGGTTTGTGTTACTTTCTTTTTGCTTTTTTTGGTTTTTGTTTGTTTTTTTAAAGTACTTTTTTTGGTAGGAGATAGGGAGAAAGACTAAAGTTTATGGAAAAGCTGGAAATTACTGCTACTTCATACATCAAAGATAACCTTATATTCTCCCTAAGTGAATATTCTCATTAGATTTTGGATGGGTAAAAAGGGATAAATAAGCAGCTACTGGGACACAAAGTCCTGAGTCTATCAGGGGGATGGAGATGGGTCAGCAGGTGACATGCCATCGATTCTAACTCCCTCCAGCAAACAGGAAGTGGCATGCTGCTAAGGAACAAGAAGATAACAGTCATGGCTTAGTGGAAAGAGAAGGAACTGGGAAACCCGAAAACTAGAAGTGCAAGGGTTAGTGTTAAAAGAGAGAAGTACACGTGCATGGGCAAGGATGATTGATTGTTCACACCATCTGGAAAGGCCTTTGGCTGTGGGGATATCAGAAACCCCACCTTAGGGGATGATCTGTATGGCTCTGGGGCTGGGAGGCTCCTAGTACAGGTGTCAACATACATGACCATGTGGCTGAAAAGCCCCACATCTGTCCTTTACTCACAACACACAGTTTCCCCCCCAAACTGCCATGTCCAAGGCAGACGCAAGGGGATAAGATGACATCTCTCTTGGCTCTGGAACGGGCGAGCTCTGGCTGGGGACCTCTCCACAAGGGAAGGCATCATCTGCCTGCAGACTGGGACTGTGGAGTCATAATCACATGCGACTGTATGGGCATGCTCAGTTCTGTCCTTTGGCTGGCCATCTGAGTGAGGACTGAGGTGGCCACAGCTTCAGCTGCTGAGCGAACACTGAGGCCATTGCTAGGTGCTGTTGCTGAGCTGTGCTGAATCACAGGGGCTGGAGAACCCGTTGGCTCCGAGCTTTCCTTGGGGCTTTCTGCCAAGGAAAGAGGGCAAAAAACAGAGCAAGTGGTTAGAAAACAGAATGGGGAAACAGGTGGGACTACCTTTTGCCATAATTCTAAAGCAGACCAAAGGAAAAAGATGCCTATTTTTTGGGGGGAAGGAGAAACTTCCCAGAATCTTGGCTTCCACACTATGAATGAGCCAGGAAACAGTAAGTTGTGAGAAGGGGGAGGCAAGAACTCGAAAAATTAATCTACCTATCCCAATAAAGTGAATCCCCAACATATTAATTACACTGTTTGGCTTCTAGGTTTTTGTATGTAGTTTATTAGCTTTATTGGAATACTCTTCCTCTTATTCATTTAAACGTGATTTAAAATAGATTTCTTTTTTAGGTATCTTCTCTGATTAATTCCCACAGGAACTGATCCATTTTTTAAAATTTTCCTTTAGCATGTAGTTGTAAGAGAGGTAAGCCTGATAAATATCAAGCTATAATCAAATTATGTAATAAATGATCAGTCCTTGGCTAAGGTACACTCAACACAACAAACCCCAAAGAGGTCTATAGACCCTCCTGACTATTCATTAGCTAGGTGTTACTGATTTAAAACATTTATTATGAATTATGTTGCTCCACCTAAAGTGACAATAACACAAATATCTGAACTGCATACAAAGACAACTCCATGTCGCTCATCAGTCAAGGAGTTTTCTTAAATATCAGATAGCCTCTATGTCTGCTTAGAGATGTGTGGAATGAGGGAAAACTTTTAACAGTTAGTGGTTTTCTTGACCTGAAGAATACTTGAGTCTTCTTTTAGAAATCAAATATTACCTTCTCTGTGAAGCCTTCTTTATTGTACTCAGGAAATTAACTATTTCACTGCTTGTCCTTTCAGAGCATATGTTCATTTATTCATCAAATATTTACGGAACATCATTCATGTGCCAAGCTCTGGGGTACATAAAGAATTAATATGGTAGCCCTGTCCTCCGGAAGCTCCCAGTCTAAGGGCTCTTTAACTGGGATATCTGTGCTTACCCTATTAACAGGTTGACATGTTTATCTCAGAGGTAGGGACAGTGTCTATTTGTCTTGTGTTAAGTACCTACCATAATGTATACATCACATAGCAGGAACTAAAGTCATTTTTTGCTGTAACAAATAAGTAGTTTAATGGGCTGACTACATGTCTGAGTTGTGGGACTGAGTATGAAACTTACTGTATATAGACTTCATATTGATGGATACTCAGTCCTTGTCTTCCTTTTAGCCCATGAAAAGTATTTGAAGTGGTTGATCACTAAACATCTTGAAACACTTTCTTATCTTTGTTTACAGAACACTACACTCAGCTACTCAGCTGGTTTTCCTCCTGCCTTCTTGGCAGCTCATTCTCAGTCACTTTGTGGGTTCATTCTCATCTCTCTGACCTCCAATGATGCAGTACCCCAGGGCTCAGTCCTGGGACTTCTCTTTTTTCTATCTATGCGCTCTCCTTTGACAATAACATTTCATCCAGTTTTATCGCATTAAAATCTAACTAAATGCTGACTCCACAGTCATATCTTCCAGCCCTTCATTTGAACTGCAGACCCATATAACCACTGCCTGCTAGACTCTACCTTCAAGACTAATAAGTTTCTTAAACTCAGCTTGTCCAAAACTGACCAAATATAAATCCTAATCCATTTCCTCCTACCCTTTCCCCTATCTCAATTAATGGCAGATCCATTATTGCAGTTGCTCAGTCCAAAAACTTCGGTGCAATTTTTGATTCTTCTCATTCTTCATGTACACTGCCCCATCTGGCCTGTCATCAAACCCTGTCACTCTAACTTCAAAATATCCTGAATTCAACCCCTTTTTACTACTTTCACTACCACTATCCTGTTCCAAGACTCCAATATCTCTTGTGCATAATTGCAATAGCCTCCTAAGTGGACTGCTTGCTTCTCTGTCTGTGAACTCCTACACTAACAGAGCGATCCTATTCGAATGTAAGTCAGATCAGTATGTCACAACTCTGCTGAAAACCCTCTTAATGGTCCTCAATGCAGAGTAAAAGCCAAGGTCCTCATCATGACTGATGAAGCCCTATACAGAGATGTTCCCTTTACCTTCCCTACCTCATCTCCAGCTACTCTCCAGTCTCCATACTCTCCAATCCATCCATGCTAGCCTTCTTGCTGTTCCTAGGATGTGTCAGGCACACTCTCACTTTGGGTCTTTTCATTTGCTTTTCCTCCTGCTTGCAGTACTTTTCTCCCACAAAAGTGCATGGCTAGCTAGCTTCTTCACCTCTTTAATGTCTTTATTCAAAAGACATCTTATCTAAAATTTCAGCTCTGCTGCCAACACTTTATATTCTTCTTCCCTTTTTAATTTTTCTTCCAAGCATTTATCTTACCAATATACCATATATTGTACCTATTTATCTCATTTATTATCTGTCTCACTTACTAAAATATAAGCCCCTTAAGGGCAGGGAGTTTAATCTAATCTATGGTTTTCTATTATATCCTCAGCATGTAAAACAGCGCCCAGCACAGAACAGGCTCAATCAACATCTGCTTAGTAAATGAACATACCCTGAAGTACATATTAAAATTTAAATAGAGATATTGGTGATGTGGTTACTCATTTTCTATGAAAATGCATCTGTGAAATGACAGTGGAAAAATAATTCAATATATCAAAATTTGATAGCCAACATTTATATGAATTTAATTTGTAAAGGGAAATGATTTATTAGCTTTTACTGTTCATAAGCAAATTATTCACAATAATTCTGATTTTAGGATTGTGCTTATCCTGAGCAAAACTCTCTGATTATATCTTTCTAGTACTATTTTGTGCATGTTTATAGAATATGAACTAAAACCAACCTCAGCCCATCATTAGAAACATAAAATATCCCCCCAAATCACAATGTTTAACAAACCCCCCATGTATCATCTGCTATTTATATGCTTTTTGATGCCAAAGCACCGTCTTTAAAATATGAAAGACCTGGACGTGAATCCTGGCTCTGCCACTTTACCAGCTATCTATAAAACTGCAGGTAAGTGACTAATCTGAGTGCAGTTGTCCTGTGTATAAATGGAGATAAAGTCTCTATTTCACAAGAGAACTAGAAAGATGGTAGTGTGCCTAAGACAAAGCAGGCACCCAATAAACATAGCCTTCTTCTATCTCCAACTATGATAATTAGGAGAACTCTATATTATTCTCTAAAAAAAAATTTTTTTTTGTAGGGCTGGCTGCTCCACAAAGGCTGCTTACTCATGAGTCTGGACTCCCCCTCCCCCTCACTGGCCCCAGAACATTCAGAATGGAGTTATAAAATTACAAACAGTACATGCAGTTTACTGACTGACTGACCTTGCTCAGGTTGTGAGCCACTTACCTAAATAGCCTTGGGTCTTTTTCTGTAGTGCAGTGACTGGGCAGTCTTTATGAGCTAACAATAGCTGTTTCAACTGAGCCACCTCATTGCGTAGTAATGTGACTTCATTCTGAGGAGAGAGGGAAGAAAAGAGTATCAAGAAAATTCAGCCTCCACTTTTTAACCACAGTGACTGTCTCTTGACTTGATGACACAATGCTGCCTGGATTTTCTTTTCTGAATCTGGGAGACTTCTGATCCAGCAAGTCTTCAGATTGCCCAGGGCCAGTATAGTCATGAATTCAATGACAGGAGCTGCTTACAGTGAAAAGTAGGGACTCATAATAGAAAAATTACTCCTGTTTAGGATAAATATGATTGTACCAAAATTAATAATACATGTGTTTTTTGACTAAGAAAGCTTACTTCCATGAATCTATTTAACATCTACTCAAGTACATACAATGTTCACTGTAGCACTGCTGTTCTATCAAAACATTATAAATATCCATATCTTATAACAACACTTAGAATGTACTACTATATAGCTATCCAAAAAAAAAAAAAAAAAAAAAAAGAGGTAGCCCTGGCTGGTGCGGCTCAGTGGATTGAGCACTGGCCTGAGAATTGACAGGTCACGGTTTCGATTCCTGGCTAAGGCACATGCCTGGGTTGTGGGCCAGGTCTCCAGTTGGGGGCGTGTGGAAGGCAACAGATCAATGTATCTCTCACACACTGATGTTTCTCTCCCTCTCATTCTCCCTCCCTTCCTCTCTCTCTAAAAGTAAATAATAAAATCTTAAAAAGAAAAATGAGGTAGATCTTCTATATACATTGCCAGATCTCCAGGAGATACTGCTAATCTATTTATGTTAAACACACAATCCCTTTTTGACTCCCCTACAAAAACTATAAATGAAAATAATATTTAGAAACACATGATGTCTGGTAGGTACACATCAAACTTACCTACAGGAAAGAGAATGAGTCTGGAAAGGACTTCGGAGTTTTTTTGTTTGTTTATTTTTAGAGAGAGGGGAAGGGAGGGAAAAGAAAGGGAGTATCTGGCACATCAATCAGTTGCTTCTCACACCTCCACACCTGGGGACCTGGCCTGCAATTCAGGTATGTGCCCTGACTGGGAATCAAACCAGCGACCTTTAGGTTCGCAAGCCAGCACTTAATCCATCGAGCCACAGTAGCCAGGGCGGACTTTGTTTTTATGCTACACCTCTGTGTATATGTATGTGTATATTATATACATGTTATATATAAATAGTATATATTACCTTGTAATTAAATATTTTAATAATAATCAGGAGAAGGGAAAATAGTATTCAAGAAAACATATGGATTATAATTGTTCTCTTTGTGCTTGTGTGGCTTTTTCTCTTTTTTTTTTTTAATCTGTCACATTGACAAGTTTTTTAAAAAAACTGATTTGAGAGAGAGAGGAAGAGACAGAGAAAAAAGAGAGAGAGAGAGAGAAATATTTGTTATTCCCTTTATTTATGCTTTCATTGGTTGATTTTTGTATGTGTTCTGACCAGGGATGGGACCTGCAAGCTTGGTGTTTATCAGTTGATGCTCTCACCAAGTGAGCTACCTGGCCATGGCTGTGTCGCCTTCTCTTCTCTTTTATTAACCTGCATTATCTGGGGCAAACACATTTCCCTTTGGATGTTCCATGGCCCCAGTCAGAGTATACCGATGACTTAAAAGAGCATCCTGGGGTGCTTAATCTAATTCCCTCCCTCTGAATTGGTCTATGAATGACTCATTCCAGTAGCAGATTTGGGAATAGATAGTATCTTTTCCAGCCTCTGGGGAAGAGATTTCAACTGTGACTTAGGAGATTCTTTCTGCCTTCTTCCTAGAACATCTGGATCTATCCTAATATAAAGAATTACCATCTTCCATTATATTGTCCCACTTTTTTTCTGATTCAACCCCACTTTTAAGATTCAACAATTCCAACAATCATCCAGGACCCACTCACACTCAGCTGAATGTTCTGAGAAGTGAGTTCTTCTGCCTTCTTTTCTAGGGAGGACACCCATAGTTTCCGTTTTTGACGGCAGCGAGAGGCTGCAGCACGGTTGCGCTCCAGAAAGCGCTGCCGCCGCTCATCTGGATCTTCATCCACTGTACGCCGCCGTCGCCCCCCTGTACTAGGCGTGGGCTGGGCTGGTGAGACCTGTGGCCCAGGAAGAAAGAGGAGTTACTTGAAAAGAATGTCAGTCCTTTCCAAATTAAACCTGATGTTAGGTATTTTAGGGAGATCTGGCAAGGGAATGTACCAGTCTCAGTAACCACAGCAAGTCTCATCACTATGTCCCTTAGCTTCTCTTTTGTAGTTACTCCTCATTCTGCCTCCCGTTTCTTTCCAGTCTTCTCAGTCCCATACTTAGACAACCACAGTTCAGTAGGAAAGTGATTATTTCTGAGACAGACAGACACAATGAGAAACTAGGATCACTTTTTGTTTCTTAAGAATAGGGAATGTTGTAGACAGGGAAATCATAAAGGAAGGTATGAGAACTTTTAGCAAGACTGTGGAATAAAAAAGTTTACAAATTACTGATTTAGACAAGCAATATATACAAACAACTGAATGCTACAACAAATTTCATAAAAGAAGAAAATATTTTACTATTACTGAGAATTAGGCTATTTTAGAGAGCTATGGATTAGTATATTCTTTTTATTTATAATCAGTTATTAATCATCCTCATCAACACTCCCTGTCTTGTTTGTTCTTTTTTAAACAGAAAAGCATTTATAATCCCTTTACAAATTGGTGATACAGAATTTTCTTTTGTTTTCAAACTTCAGGCTGATATTCCTTGACACTAAAGCACTTTTCGATTCATCCCTTTCTGTTAGCTGGTATGTGTTCAGAAAACATAGGCCAATTTTATAATAGCAGCAAAAATTAAAATGTGGAAAGGAAAACCATCTGTATAAAAGAAACTATATAATATAAAACAGTGCCAAAAATAAATTTGTTCTAGATCTGTTGCTATTAGGGAGTATCTATATTAGTAGTTTCCAAATGCCAGAGCTCACATCAGTTGAGCGAGAATAAGCATGAGCTTATTAAAAAAACAGAATCTTATACTCCACTTCAGGCCCTACTGAATCATGTTCTTCATTAAAATAATCAAGACATAATTTTTATTTATTCAGACTAATATATTTCCCAAAAGGAAAAAAATGGGGAGGAAATTTCAAACTCAATTTAATGAGCTAGAGGCCTTGGGTCATTGCTTCCCTCAACACCAAGGGAAGTTTACACTAATTCTCTTGAGATTTAAAATTTCCTCTTTGTCCTGAGCTCACTGGACCACACGTAAAGACTGGGATTTTACCAAGGATGAGGGAAAGGAAAGGATAGGTTCAAATTCTCTCATAGGCAACTCATGCAGGGAATGGAGATGAAAGAACAGGCTGGGAGAAAGGGAAGAATGAGAAGGAAAGGAATCAGTGGTGACTAAAAAGGAAGTCATATCATTTCTTCAAGAGGAAAAGCAGCACAACTCAGGCAAGGGGCTACTGCTCTCCCTTCTCCAGGGACTGGCATCACAAAAGGATACATGAGGGTGGGCAGGCTTAGCTTCCAACAAGAAAACTCAGATGAAGGTTTTTGTTGGCGACCACACTTTAAGTCAATATGTGGCCATTAAATGTTAGGACATGTGGTGGTAACTGAAGAAGCAGGTGGTGACATGAGGAAAATGGGCTGGGCAAAGAATGCAACTCTAGAAACCAATCTCAGGTATAGATATAGTCCAGTATAGATAATAAAACACTGAGGCCTATTCAGTTTTCAAATAAATTTACTAAAATTGAGGCCTCCTTGAGAAAAGAATTGGGCATCTAAATGGGACTGCTGAGTGTTAAGATACTAAATTGACAGGAAAAGGTACAATTTTGTGTTTGTTTGCTGAGCCATCTTAATACTAAGACATCACATATTATTAATGTATTACTATCTGAGTTTTTCTCTAAAATGTAATCAAGTTTGTTTTTTTTTAAAGACTTAATAGATGGGAAAGAGGCTAGAAGAACCTCCTTTGTATGGTGCACAAAGTGGTTTGAAGTGAGGTTCTGTCACATTTTAGAGGGTTCTGCAGATATATCATTCATATACAGGTAAAAAAAAAAAATTAAGACCTCCTCTGTGACAGTTTTGCATTACCTAGTCTGTTTACATGTAAGTATAACACAAGGGTGGACAAAGAATGGTACATTTTGCTACTGTCAAATTGTCAACAAGAACCAAAGCACAGGGAGATGCCCAGAAAGCTGAAATCCAATCTTCTCTAATTTTTCTGCTCCTTAAAAACACAGGACATAAGAGCAATGTTGAGATAGCTGGTTCCCCCTCCCAAGGGCCCAGCTGACCTGTGGCTGGGCAGGGGATGGGGCATCAGGGTGCTGGATGAGGATCTGGCTCTGCTCAGGACGAGCTGTCACCATGGTGCTGGCAGTACCCACCACCATTCCACAACCACCATTGACTGATGAGACTTGGTGGGTTAGGCTGGCTTTTAGTCTCTGTGGAGAAAGACAAAGGAAAAAAAAGCTCATCAAGGGTGAGATTTTATCAAGGGTGGGGAAGAGTGGGCTTGGATTTTATTACTGAATTTATATATAGCTAAAATTTCCGCCCTAATTTTCCCTTAACACAGGAATTTTTAAAAAATGACAGGGAGAGAGAATGTGCACCTGGATCCCTAAAATGCCTACTCTATTCCCTGGCTATCATCCTGGGCACAGTTGGAGGGTGGGGGTTGTTGAAGCAATAGAGTCCAGATGAAAGCTCTCTCCTGGAATGTGGCCAGGTGCTGGTTACACAGCTATTCACCTCTTGGCCAGCTCTCCTGCCCACTCATCCACCCTCCATCTGCCACCCTGGAACTGAAACAGCAAGTGTTCCACTCCAAACAATCTGTGCTGCCTCTTCACTGGCATGGTCTATGTACCAGGCTCGAAAGGTGGAAGAGAGTAGACGGGAATCCTAAATCAGGGTCTTTTTTTCTTTAGAGCTCACAACAGGGTGTCTTTAGCTTTGCCAAGGCCCAGAAGGTTCTCTCACTTGCCTCACATGAAAAACCTAGGCTGATTCAACTTCTTTCAGAAAGGGCCAATGTTGCCCCAGGCTGGTATGTACTCACCATCTTGGCTTCTGATGGCACAGGGTGGCCAGAGGGAGAAATGGAACCACTGCTGTTAACTGGTGGGCCAGGGATACCAGGAATGTTGGGCACCATAGACACAGGCCTGGCCAGCTGGATGAAGAGAAGGAAGAAAAACCAGAAGGGAACATAATAGTATCAGTGGGGCAAAAGTTTCCTCAAAATGCTGGGATTTTGAGGTTGGTACATTAGGGCTTGTTCTATGCAACCTGCCTATAGGGTATTCAGGGATCCTGGGAAATACCTCATTCCATGGAGCAACACAGTGTAGGGAATCTAATCCTTCAGTGCTATGACAATTTCTATGGGAAAGGCTGAGGCTGTATACTGAAGAAAGTGGTGGGCAATCTGGGAGGTGCTAAGTGCCAAGTGAAATCAACCAATCAGTAGGCTGGCAAGATCAATTCCTAGACCAGGAGCCAATTGTCCAAATGAGTCTTTGTCTAGTGTTCCATAGTGCTGGATTGGCAGAGGTTAGCGAAGTGTTTGGGCAAACTGCCATGCTCAACTAATACAGACCAGAGCCCATGTTTCCCTAGGGCTTGTGTGTGTTTATGAACATTCAGGTGGAAGGGAGGGACTGTGTGTTGGTAGGGCTGGTTGTCCCAATTACGGAGCGTACCGATATAACGGAAGGCATCTGTACTGGAGGCCCTGGCAGCACAGGCATGGTCTGTCCATTAGCAAGATGCATGACGAGAGGAAGAGAGCCAGTGGGAGACCTGGAGGACACATGAAGTGAAATGCTCATAATACAGAACACTTTGCCTTTGGATCTTCCTCCTAACATACTGCAAATTTTCTAGTCTTTTCTACTTAGGGAAGCTAAAGGACAGCATTATAAAATCTTGAAACCCTCATGAGGTGGAAAAAGCAGGGAATGCTACAAGATCTTTTTACACTTTGCAAATTAAGCAAACACCACTGAACTCAATGGATGGGAAGCTAATCCTATTTTTTAAAAGATTCTGCTTGTTTATTTCTAGAGAGATGGGAGGTAGGGAGAAAGCAAGGGAGAGACCTCAACGTGAGAGAGACATCAATCAGTCGCCTTTCACATAACCCCAACTGGGGACCTGGCCTGCAACCCAGGCACGTGCCCTGACTGGGAATCGAACCAGTGACTTTTCGATTTGCAGGCTGACACTCAATCCACTGAGCCACACCAACCAGGGTGCTCACTAATCGTATTAAGAGTTTTGAACAACTGATTAAACATCCCTATCACAGCGGTGTATAATTTCTGTTTTGCCTTAGGTGAGAGGGACTTGGACCAAAGTTGGCATTTTTGCAAAGCTGAATTATGTCATATGAAAGCCAAATATGAGTAAATTTTTCTTGTTCCTTTCTACATTTTGCTCTGCCTTGCCCCAAAAGATGTCTCTTTACATTTTTCTTGGTGGGTCCACAGAACAATAAGCTTCAAGAGGCTAAATTCTGACAATAATTTCTTAACTCAACAGGTATCTAAGGGCAAGTCATCCCATTATGAAATCTGTACAGGTTGTGCCAGGACTGAAGACAAACATACAAACAAACAAAATTAGTGGTCTCAAAGATCAAGAACCCTAACTGCAACTGAGGGAAACACTCAAAAAACATGACTTAATAGGTTTCGGCTCCCCTCATTCAGTAGTGCTCTGATAAACTTGTACTGATTGAGGCCAAGAACTAAATATAGGTTCCTGTGTGGCCTCCACCATTATGTTGAACTGCCTAAGGTTTTAAGGATTCTTCTTTTAGATCAAAGAAATTATTAAACATCCAAATTAATAAAGTATAACCCTCAAATATTTGCTGGTCTAGTCAAAAGGTAAAGGAATCTGTTTACAGGGGGAAATTTTTTTATTCTGAAAGACAATCTCAGTGACTCATTTTCCTTGAGTATTCTAAAACAGTGCTTGTTTTTATCAAATAATTTCACAAAGTAGGAAAAGATTCAGCTCTTTCCTTTTGTGGACATCATAGAGGTGCCAGAGGTCAAATGAAGTTTTTTTGACTTCTGTTTGGAGTAAGAACCTTAAGGGACATTTCAATGCACCTTCCTATATTTGCAGGAAGATTATATCTTCTCCTCTTTCCAAAGAGCTGAGACAGAACTACGATGTTCAATCCATGCTGATCCGAAAGGATGATAAATTTCAGGTCGTGCGAGGACATTACAAAGGGCAGCACATTTGCAAAGCAGTCCAGGTTTACAGGAAGAAATGTGTCACTTATATTGAACAAGTACAACGGGAAAGCTAATGGTACTACTGCTCATGTGGGCATTTACCCTAGCAAGGTGATTATCACTAAACTAAAACTGGACAAAGACCACAAAAAGATCCTTGAACGTAAAGCCAAACCCACCAAGTAGGAAAGGAAAAGGGCAAATATAAAGAAACAATTGAGAAGATACATGAATTACGTAATCTTATGTACAACTTTCATTAAAAACTTGAAAGGAAAAAGATTCAGATTTCATTATTTCTCTCTGCTCTTTACTTACCCCAGCTGCCTGTTGGATGGTGGAGCCTGTGTGATGACAGAGGTTGGGGAGGGAAGGGTTGGGTGAAGTGGATCATAGCCCAAGTGGAGAGGCAGGGAGCCAGGGCGTACAATGGTAGGCGTTGGGGTAGAGATCACAACAGGCTTTGGGGCAACCTCCTGGGGAAGAGACCAACAGATCAAAAAATGCTTTAAGGGGCTGCTTACAGGAAATAAGTAGCTGGTAAAATCTGGTACAAATTTATTGGAAAGAGCATCAGAACAACTCATTTTGCTCCATGGTCATGACCATACCTCAGTCACCCATTCAGTTAAAATGCTGAGTTAAGACCTTTTGGCTATCACCATTTTATCAGGGAAGATGATTATATGAATGAGATGAAAGTTAAAAAAAATCACTTGAAATCTCTGTAGAAGCACTGTAGTAGTATATAAATTCTAAAAATTGTTATAGTTGTTCACAATCTAAATACTGATTCTAAACTTGATGTCTGAATGTCCTGTGATCTCTAATGGAAAAAGGCAGGTATAAGACTGGTGATAAAGCAACACAATATTTTCTTTAAAAAAGGGCTATGGACGTTTAAATAACAATCACCGTTAAAATAAAACAAACTGCTTCCCACTGTTAACTTCTTAAGATGTTAGGTTGCCAGTGGCCACATTGGCCATGGAAACATCTTCAGACAGCCTCTAGGACCTGGATGCTGATGAAAAGGAGAGAGGGGAAGGTTGTAATATTTATGGAGGGAGTAGTTTGGGAAAGTTATCAAAACAAATTTGGAGGAAGGTAAAATGAAGTATAGGTGCTCTATTCAAAGTGGATATTAAAATTAATAACTACTGGTAGAACTGAGACTGGAAGAAGGCACAAGGGGGCTTCTGAGGTTCTGATAATATCTGGGTGCTGGTTACAAAGGCTGTAAACTTTGTAAAAATTCAGTGAGTTGTATACTTACAATTTATGTACTTTCCTGTACATGTGCAATGTTTCAATAAACTCATAAAAAGGTTCCTTTAAAAACTATTCAGAATCTTAGTAGATACTCCCTTTAAGTAACTAGAAGACTTCCCTATGGGACGACTTTTTTTCTAGATTTTTAAAAGAAAGCCTCACCCAAGTTTATTGATTTTAGAGAAGGGGGGGAGAGAGAGAGAGAGAAGCATCAAGAGAGAAGCATCAATCGGTTGCTTCCATATGCCTCCAGACTGGGGATCTAACCCACAACCTTTTGGTACACGGGACAACGCTCCAATCCAATGAGCCACTTGGCCAGGGCTCTAAATTGTCTAAAGTCCATTTTATAAACAATGTGATTTTCTTCTTCACTTATTAATTGAAGTATTACATACAGTAAAGCACATTAATCTAAAAGGTATAACTAAATGACTTTTTACATATATATAATCAAGACAGAGCCCATTTCCAACACCCCAGAAGGTTCTCCTGAATCCCTTCCCAATCCATACCTTTCCTCACAAGAAGTTAAACGTTATTCTGAGTTTTATCACCATCAAATAATTTTGCCTCTTCTTGAACCTGATGTAAATAAAATCATATTGTATGTACTTCTGTGTCTGAATTTCTTTGTTGTTCAATATAACATCTGTGAGATTCATCCATATTGCTCTTATCATTAGTTCACTTTTTTTTTTTAAATCCTCACCCAAGGGCATTTTTTCATTGCTTGTTTAGAGAGAAGAGGAAGGGAGAGAAGGGAGAGAAAGGGACATCGATGCAAGAAAGAAGCATCAATTGGCTGCCTCCTGTTTGCTCTGGGACAGGAGATTATATGCACCCAGACTGGTGATAGAAGCAGTAACCTAGGTATGTGCCCTGACTGGGAATTGAACTGCAACCTTTTGGTTACAGGACCATGCTCTAAACGAGCCACACTGGCCAGGACAGTTCATTCTTTTTTAATGTCATGAAGTATTCCATTTTATAAACATACTATTCATTCATTTTCTTGTTGCTGGACTACTTCCAGTTTTTTGACTATTATCAAGACAACTGTTGCCTGACTGGTGTTGCTCAGTGGGTTGGGCATTGTCCCACAAAGGTAAAGGTTGCAGGTTTGATTCCCAATCAGGGCACATGCTTGAGTTGTGGGCCACATCCCCGGTTGGGGTCATGTGAGAGGTAACTGATCAATGTTTCTCTCACATATCAATGTTTCTCTCACATATCAATGTTTCTCTCCCTTTCTTTCTCCCTTCCTTCCTCTCTCTCTGAAAATAAATAAAAACTTAAAATATAACTGTTATGAATATTTTCATACACTTCTTTGGGTTGACAAATACACTAATTTCCACATAGGCTGAGAAGTAGAATAGGTGTAATTTACATAAATCTTCTAAACAATTGACATTTATTTGAATATACTCAATCCTCTTGTATCACACACTACTTACAAAACCAATCAATCAAAATGTGATCTATTAATTAACATCTAGGATGACTCTTGGTAGAGAAGTTTACCTTGTCCTTGAGTGGCGGGGAACAGGGGCTGGAGGCAGGGCTGTCAGGTGGAGATGAGTCTACCTCCACTGGCTCCTCTTCTTTGATTTTAATGTCTGGTGTGGAAGGCAGAGACATGTCAAGGGGCCCAGCAGGAGCCTGTTAAAAGAGAGAAATGAACATAGTTTAACCCCATGATTCCCTTCAGGTTGAATCTGTATCTTCCCAGTTAAAAGGTGAGGGAATACACTTCCAAGAAATTCCGCCCTTGGTCAAAGCACTAAACTGCAAATCAAAGAAATGTAAAGTCTAGGTTTTATGTACAACTCTAGTCAAATTATTTTAACTCCTCAGGGCTTCTATTTCCTTAACCATAAACTGGAGATAACACTCGCTTCGCCATGGGTGAATATTTATAAAGATTCTGAAAGGGAAAAAATACTTACAATGGTTATAAAGACCTTGAAAGGGAAAAAAAGATGTCATTTAAATCCATCCAAGTATTATATTATTTTTCAGGAAAGTAAAATGATTCCTGAATACACTGCCTGCCTTTCCCCAACCAGTTCACACACTGGAGAGCTGTGAACACTTTTTCTGCCAACCAGAATGACTAGATTACCCAATTATCTAAAGCAAATAAAGACAAATTGATTATTAAAGTACTGCAAACCAGATAAGAAAGACCTTTCTAGGGAATTCCCTAGGCTTGATAGTGATTTCACCCCAAAATCTGGTCCTAGAGGTTAAAAGTTAGGAAGATAGGGCTTCAGGGTAACAAAAAAGATCACCTGATCAGTGAAAGAAATTAGAACTTGGTCCTAGCAGTGGGACTGGAGAAAACCATAAAGTAAACAGAGTACTATTCTAGCAGTAGTGCAATCACCTCACAGAGCTGTGGAGCCATAAAAGGCTTTGCAGGGAACAATAAACAATATGATGATGGCCCTGACACTGCACCATGACAGGAGCATGAACTGCTGGCATTGCAGTTCAGTTTCTTGACAAAGTGGATCCTCTGTTCCATTCTTATACCCTAGAGTTCTTGGTGAAAGAGGAATTTGTTTCTAACTCTTCCCTTGCTACCTTAATCCCTAAAAATCTTCTTGGTAGTAAGCAAACTGATGATAATCTGGTGTCTACTACATTAAAGAAGGTGATAATGGTTCTTTTTCTCCAATCTGATGGAGGTGAGCAACAACAAAGATGGTTTCACATCTACCCTCATTTTTCTACATTGGTAAGATGTCAGGCTCAATTGAGCTAATAATTCTGGGATCCCTAGAATCAGAAGGAGAGGCGTCTCAGTAACAAGTTTAAGATCTCCTCAGGGCATCGTCTAGAAAAGCTGTGGTTCAAGAGAATTTTGGGCTCATAAAACACTCCTGAAGACAATCTTACATTGAGTTTGTGCTTTTCATCAAAGCAAGGTGAAGACCACCCCTGGATAGGCAGGAAGAAACACTAAGAGATCCTCAATGAGTAAAGTCTTGACCAACTATGAATGTCATCTCAGAAGTGTCAACTGAGCTAAAATGGCAATGGAAAAGACCTGAAGCTTCTCAAGGAAATCTAGTTTTCTTGAATTTGCCTATGAGTTTGGTTTAAAATCCCTCACATCCTGGTGGAAACAATTTGACTAATTTCTTTTTTTAGGGGGAGGGAGAAATGACAGGGTGGCTAGGGTAAGGAAGCTGTAAAATAAAATTTTATCATATAGGTTGAAGCAAATGAAAAATGAGAGACCTGAGTCTCCAAAGAAAAAGAATGATGAGAAGGCTGTGGTTAGTTCTGCCTTTTTTTAAAAAAAGACTTCATTTATTTTTAGACAGAGGAGAAGGGAGGGGAAAAAGAGGAGAGAAACATCAACGTGCGGTTGCCTCTCACACACTCCCATGAGGGACCTGGCCAGCAACCCAGGCATGTGCCCTGACTGGGAATTGAATCAGCAAGGTCTGCAGGTCCAAAGCTCAGTCCACTAAGCCACACCAGCGCTTCATTTCTGACTCAATCTTTTTTAAGCTGCTGAGGTTCTCAATAAGTTCCTTGAGCATCCTTATAACCAGTGTTTTGCACTCTCCATCTAATAGATTGTTTATCTCCCTTTTGTTTAGTTCTTTTTCTGGAGTTTTGATCTGTTCTTTCATATGGGTCATTTCTTTGTCTCTTCATTTTGGCATCCTCCCTGTGACTGTTTCTATGTATTAGGTAGAGCTGCTATGGCTCCCTGTCGTGGTACTGTGGACTAATGTAATAGGTGTCCTGTAGGGTCTAGTGGCATAACCTCCTCTACCACCCAAGCTGGGTACTCGAAGTTTGCCCTTCATGTGGGCTGAGTACATCCTCCTCTTATAGTTGAGACTTGGTTGATGATGGCAGGTCAGTGGGAGGGATTTACCCAGGCGAGCCAACTGCAAGGATTGGCTATGACCACTGACCACCAACCTCTGACCTCTGTGGAGGATCATCTGTGCAGAGGCAGGATGGTGGTGTTCCAACGTGGTCTGTAGCTGTCCAGTGGATGTGCAGGCCCTGGGGTTTCCCAGGTGGTGCAGGCCAAGGTAAGCCCCTACCTGTGTTTTGCCCAGGGCCACCCTGCCTGAGCTGGAGAGTAATCTGAGATGGCTGCCACTTGTGCTTGGCCTTGGAGACTCCCAGGTGAAGAAGCTGAACTATGGATTTAGGCTGGCTGCTGCTAGTGCTGTGCCTGGGGCCACTTAACAAGAGGTACGTGTACGAGGCGGGGGCAGTGGGGGGGGGGGGCTCATTGAGGCCAGCTGTTGTTTGTTTGAAAGGATTTAGGAAGTCGTGAGGCATGAGCCAAGACCAGCCATATTATGGAAAAGCTACTGTTAACAGTGGTAAGTTGGCTGGGACAGAGCCTCAGGGGATTTCTAGGCGGGGAGCAAACAGTGTTAACCAGGTTGCTGGAGTGTCAGATATGGCACCTGCCTGCCAGCTCTGTGGCTCTGCTCTCCTTTCTATCTGGGAGAAAGTTGTCCCCTGGCTCCAGCCTTGAGGTCAGCCACTTCAGTTTCTTCCTGTATGCCACTGTTGCCTTGCAAGCTGCTGAGTCTGAGTACATGAGTCCACGTGTGGGTTCTTCAGGAGGAACTGCTTGGGGCCCCAGAAGTTTATTCCACCGAGTCCTCACTGGTTTTTGCAGGCAGACGTTATGGGCAGTTATCTTCCTGGCACTGGTACCCTAGGCTGGGGGGCCTGGGACTCCTCATTCCCGAGCTATCCCTCCTAAATTTTTATCCACCACACGTGAATGTGGGACCAGCCCATTCTGTGATTCTGAATCTCCTACCAGTCTGGATAGATGTGGTTTCTTTAATTCCATAGTCATCAGATTTCCATTCAACTTGATTTCTGCTAGTTCTGAGTGACGGCTGTTCTCTAATTTAGTTTTAATTTTGATGTGGTTGTGAGAGGAGGTGAGCAGTGTTTACCTATGCCACCATCTTGATTGGAAGTCAGAAAGTAAAAAACCCTTCTTTTACATAAAAAGCTCTTCAAATATTTGAAGACTGAACTTTTGTTCACATTAAATCTTCTCTTTTCCAAGCAAAACTTCTTCAAGTTTTAAATCTTCTCAAAGTTGCACAGTTTCTAGTTCTTTCACCATCCTAGCTGATCTCCCTTGGAAGCCATTAAGAACATCCTTCTTTAAGAAAACGGCATTATGATTGTGGGGTGGGGGGCGGTGGAAGAGAGTATAAGGGTGATAAATGATAATAGAAAAAATACAATAATTTTTTAAAAAAGCAGTGAAAAAATAAAAGAAAACATAGACAGGATAGTCTTTAGTGAGAGTTGCCATGGTTTCCTGCCTCAACAGTGCTTGGACAGAACCAGTGCTTGACTCCCATTGCAGCCAGATGTCCAGATCTAGCCTTCTACCACCTCCTCACAAAGCCCTTGAACCACTCCAAGGCCCCTGCCACCACTGTAACCCACACAGCTGCCTCTCCTCAGTTGCTCACCATGACAACTGTACCCACCTCACAGGTGTGCCAGAACTACACCAGGACTTGTGAGGCCACCATCAACTGCCAGGTCAACCTCAAGCTCTTCTTCCTACACTTACCTGTCCATGTTGACGGTGTGGCTTTGAAGAACTTTGCCATGTATTTTCTTTCTTTTTAATAAACTTTTTAATTTTTTTAAAGATTTTATTTATTTTGAGACAGAGGGGAAGGGAGGGAGAAAGAGAGGGAGAAAAACATCAGAGTGTGGTTGCCTCTTGCGTGCCCCCTACTGGGGACCTGGCCCACAACCCAGGCATGTGCCCTGACTGGGAATCAAACTGGCGACCTTTAGGTTCGCAGGCCGGCGCTCAACCCACTGAGCCATACCAGCCAGGGCACCATATATTTGCTTTACCAATCTCATGGGGAGAGGAAACACACTGAAAAACTGATGAAGGAAGCTTCAGAACCAATGAGGTGGCTGAGTCTTCCATCGGGATATCAAAAAGCCAGGCTGTGATGACCAGGAGAATGGGCCGAATGCAATGGAGTGTATGTTACACGTGGGAAAAAGTGTGAATCAGTCACTACTGGACTTGCACAAACTGGCCACTGACAAAAATGACCCTCATTTCTGTGACTTCACTGAGATTCACTATATGCATGAGCAGGTGAAATCCACCAAAGAACTGGGTGACCACATAATCAACTTGTGCAGGTTGGGGCCCCCTGAAACTGGCATACCAGAGTATCTCTGATAAGCACACCCTGGAGACAATAAAGAGAGCTAAGTCTTAGGCTGACTTCCCATAGCCAAGGGGGTGAATTCCCTGATCACCAAAGTATGTACATGTATATACAATATGTACATGTTGGAGTTACCTTTACCTTTTCTATAACTTGTACCAAATCATCCACTTATGGTCTTTCATTTGTACCATTTCTTAGAATAATCTGGTATCCCCCACAAGAAAAGAAAACATAGGCAGTAAAATCCCTGACATTTCTCTTGGCAATAATTTTTTATTTTTTAAAGAGATATCTTTAGTTTTTAAATTTATTTATTGATTTTAGAGAGGGAGGGAGAGATAGAGAGGGAGGGAGGGACAGGGAGAGAGACAGACACTGATTGGTTGTTCCACTCATTTATTCACTCATTGGTTGATTCTTGTATGTGCCCTGACTGGAGACTAAATCTGCAACCTTGGTGTGTAAGGATAATACTCTAACCAACTGAGCCACCTGGCCAGGGCAGCAATATTTTTTCTGCTATATCTCCTTGGGCAAGGGGAACAAAAGAAAACAAACAAACAAACAAATAGGACTATATCAAACTAAAACAGTTTTTGCATAGCAAAGGAAACCATCAACAAAACAAAAAACCTACTGAAGAGAAGATATTCATTAATGATACATCTGATAAGAGGTTAATATCCAAAATTTACAGAGCTCTGCAACTCAACACTAAAAAAAAAAATCCAATTAAAAATGGACAGAGGACCTGATTAGACATTTCTTCAAAGTGGACATACAGATGGCCAATAGACATATGAAAAGATCTCAATGTCTCTAATCATCGGCAAAATGCAAATTAAAACCACAATGAGCTATCACCTGACACCTTTCGGAATAGTTATCATCAATAAATCAAAAAACAAGTGTTGGTAAGGATGTAGAGAAAAAGGAACCCTTGTGCATTGTTGGTGGGAATGCAAAGTGGTGCAGCCACCATGGAAAACAATATGGAGGGTCCTCAAGAAATTAAAAATGAACTGCCTATGTAATCCAGCAATTCCACTTCTGGGTATATATCTGAAGAAACCCAAAATACTAATTTGAAAGACTATATGCCCCCTTGTGTTCATTGGATCATTATGACAATAGACAAGTTGTGGAACCAACCCAAGTGCCCATCAACAGATGAGGGGATAAAAAAGCTGTGGTACATATATACAATGGAATATTACTTGGCCATAAAAAAGAATAAAGTCTTAACATTTATGACTGCATGGATAGACCTGGAAAGTATTATGCTAAGTGAAATAAGTCAGCCAGAGAAATACAAATACCACATTATTTCACTTGTATGTGGAATCTAAAGAGCAAAATAAATGAACAAACAAAATTGAAACAGACTCTTAGGTACAGAGAACAGACTGATGGTTGCCAGAAGGGAGGGGGGTTGCAGGACTGGGTGAAAAGGTGAAGGGATCAAGAAGTACAAATTGGTAGTTACGGAATAGTCACAGGGATGTAAAGTACAGCATAGGGAATATAGTCAATAATATTCTAACAATCATGTACGGTACCAAGTGAGTCCTAGCAATATTGGGTGAGGGGAACACTTTGGCTTTTTTTTTTTTTTTTTAAACGTTGTTTATTTTTTTAGAGGGGGAAAGGAGAGAGAGGTAGAGGGAGGGAAACATCAATGTGTGGTTGCCTCTTGCGCGCCTCCTACTGGGGACCTAGCCCACAACCCAGGCATGTGCCCTAGACTGGAAATAGAACCAACGATCCTTCAGTTACCAGCCAGGGCAGAGAGGGAACACTTTGTAAAATATATGATTGCCTAACCACTATGCTGTACACCTGAAACCAATACAAAATAACACTGAATGTAAAAAAAAAAAACACCCTTTTTTAAGTTTGTCTTGAATATTACTAGAAATCTACTTGAATGTAAGAGCCACATACACTGAAACAAAAAGGAGTCTAATTCAATAAATGTTTCTTGACTGGCTGACTAAATACATGGAGTCTACATAAGAAATCTGATTATCTTGAAAACAATGGGATTTGGAAAAAAAAGTTATCTAACAAAATATGAGTAATTTACAATCTTTTAACATCTTCAACATATTCAAAACAAATACTTTTAACAAATAAATTGCTGAACTAATGTTCTACTGAAAGTCTAAGAAGACTGATTTTTGGTGAAGACAGACTTGTGCTGCTCTATTGTCTGGACCCCCTATAGATCTGGATGGCTGACTAGGATTAGTGGATACTCTCTGTTGCTATATAACCATGCCTGTAATTTTGTGTTTTAACCAATTAAGCAAATTATCCCAGGGCACAATGAGACTAGCCTAGATCTGAACATCACCAGTTTTTCAGTAGAAGTCCTGCCTCTTACCTTTTTTTCATCCTCATCTGCAGCTTTCTTGAATTCATGTTCAAAAGAGCTAGCTAGTTCATTGAAGAGCCCCACCTCCTCACAGTTCTTCAGGAATCTAGTCGGAGTAGGAGTCTGATCTGTAGACATGAAAACCAAAGGAAATTCAATTTTAGTTTTGACCTGAAATTAAAACTTGAAAGTACACAGAAAATACAATTTTATTCTTATATTTGGAGAGAGTCTAGGTGTTATGGAGCTCTAGTAGGTGAAGGCTGGTGCTGGGCCACCAGGGGGTGTCTGTGCTGTGTTGCCTGAGGCCAGCAGAGGGAAGACAGAACACAGAACAATGTTTTGTTGTGTGACTTTGCTTGTAACCACCTTTCTCCCACAGGCTGGTTTTACCTTCCTCACCCCCAAACAAAACCAAACCTCCCACCCAGGTGGAGTTTGTGAAACTTCCACATTTGAAAATCAAGTACAGTTAAGTAACATTTTCGCTTTAAACTTACTCCCTGCTGGGACTGAAGTGAGCAGGTATCATAAGCAGGTGTACATTAAAATCTGAAGAGGAGAAGAAACCAAGGATCAAATGGCTGAGTTTGCCTGCTAAAGCTACCAAATTAGAAATGGTGCATTGTCTTTCAGTGGTCACTAAAGTAAGGGTATGTTACCTTCTGAAGGCATTCCAGGCAAGTCTAGGGGCTGGGGAACAAGACAAAAAGATCATGAGCTAGAAAAGGAAACTGCAAACAATAGAATAGAGATGTGGGCCCAGAGCAAATTCCGGAAACCAGGATATTTGGATTTATATTTGCCAGCCAAAATATCCTCTCAGAGGCTGCACAAATCTCTTCTCAACACAGTGCCTCTGCCCTTGGGAAGAAGAAGGCTTTCAGTAACCCATGGCAACTTTTCAAGCAACTTGACTTTTACATTTGAACTTCTCTCCCTCCCTTCTGCTTTTCTATTTTTTCTCTTAGATTAGTTGAATCTTGCTCCCTGATCCTAACTCTATTAGATGGTTTTCTTTGATATGGCAGTTAACTCAATTCACCTCATACCCCAAACTACTAGACTAAATGATAGAAATACAATGTTTAAATAGTATTTTAAGGAGTGAGACCTGGGGTAAAAATTGCTTCTTCTAGCATGATCAATTGGGAATAGTCCAGTGGGATTTTCCAAGGAAACAACATAATTTTCAAAAAAATTTAAACAAAACCTCTTCTGAATCAGAGTGTTTGGAAAAGTTGCCACTACCTCCCAAAATAGTTTTAAAAGCTTCTCTGGCAGCTTTGGTTGGCCAACAATAAAGCCACTTTCCCTCCATCCCCGGGTGAGTGGAGGTAATATCATCCTTTATATGCTTAGAGAGAACTTCAGTAAGGGCACACACAAAAATTACAACTCAGGTAAAACAGGATAGGGCAGCTAAGGGCATGGCTATAGCGGAAGAGGGCCTTTAGATCTCTGATCTGAGGCTCATATAAACTTCTCCCACTCTTGAACAATGTGTAAGAAAATTTGTTAGAACAAACAACAAGTGCTGGGGAGGATGTGGAAGAAAGGGAAACCTAGTACGCTGCTGGTGTGAATGCAGACTGGTGCAGCTACTGTGGAAAACAGTGTGGAATCTCCTCAAAAAATTAAAAATGGGGACCTATAGTCAAGATGGAGGGATAGGTAAAATGGCTCATCTCCTTACCCAACCATAGCAAAACTTAAAACTAAAATACAAAACAACTATCACCCAGAATCATCAGAAAAATCAGGCTGTATGGAAAGTTCGACAACAAAGGAATTAAAGTTACATTCATCCGGACGGGAAGGAGGGGCTGAGATGTGGAACAGGTGGCTCCACACCCACATGTGGTAGATAAAAACTGGGAGGGATACCTGTGGAGCGAGGGATTTCAGCCCCACACCAGACCACCAGACCAAGGTTCCAGTCCCAGGAAAGTGAGTCCTCATAACTTCTGGCTGTAAAAACCAGTGGGGTTGGGGTGGCAGAAAAAATGGCGGGATTCTCTGGTGCTTCCTCTTAAAGAGCCCAAAATGGACTGAGGACTTACACAGATTCACTCCCTCTGGGCTCTAGCACTGGGGCAGCAGGCACCAGTGGCATATGGGGAGAAATGGAAGTGTCAGGCACCAGGGCAAGTGCCAGGGACAGCTTCCTCCTGGACAAAACCCCAGAGGCCAGGCAGCTGCCATAGTCCTTTTCTGAGCCCTCACCCACACAGAGCCAAAGAGCAGAGACACCATATCTTACACTCCATCAACCTGGTTCACATGGGTTGCTCCACGTTGGCTATTACCGAAGGCTCTGCCTCATCCAACTTATGGGTGTACTTTTCTACAATGGATCACGCTACTAAGACAGGGTGTCAAAGCAGCTCTACCTAGTACATAGAAACACACGCAGGGAGACTGCCAAAATGGGGAAACAAAGAAATATGTCCCAATTGAAAGAAAAGAACAAAACTCCAGAAAAAGAACCAAACAAAATGGAGATAAGCAATCTATCAGATGCAGAGTTCAAAACACAGGTTATTAGGATACTCAAGGAACTCACTGGATACTTCAACAGCATAAAAAAAGACCCAGACAGAAATGAAAGTTACACTAAGTGAAGTAAAGAAAAACGTACAGGGAATCAACAGTGGAGTGGATGAAGCTGAAAATCAAATCAATAATTTGGATCATAAGGAAGGAAAAAACATTCAACAAGAACAGCAAGAAGAAAAAAGAATTCAAAAAAATGAGGAAGGCTAAGGAGTCTCTGGGACAACCTCAAATATACCAATATTAGAATCACAGGAATGCCAGAAGGAGACGAGGAAGAGCAAGAAATTGAAAACTTATTTGAACAAATAATGAAAGAAAATTTCCCTAATTTGGTGAAGGAAATAGATGCACAAGTCCAGGACAGAAAATCCCAAACAAGATGGACACAAAGAGGACCATGCCAAGACATCATAATTGAAATGCCACAGGTTAAATATAAAGAGAGAATCTTAAAAGCAGCAAGAGAAAAGCCCTTACATACAAAGGAGTTTCCACAGATTGCTAACTGAATTCTCAAAAGAAACTTTGCAGGCAAAAGGGACTGGTAATAAATATCCAAAGTCATGAAAAGCAGGGACCTACCACCTAGTTTACTCTATCCAGCAGAGCTATCATTTAGAACTAAAGGGCAGATAAAGTGCTTCCCAGACAAGGTAGAGCTAAAGAAGTTCAGCATCACCAAGCCATTATTAAATGAGATGTTAAAGGATTTTGTTTTAGAAAAAGAAGATCAAAATGATGAACACTAAAATGGCAACAAATTCACAACTACCAACAATTGAATCTAAAAAACAAACTAAACAGACAGAACAGAAACAGAATGTGTCATAGATATGAAGAACATCTGGAGGGTTATCAGCTGGGAGGGGGAATAGGGAAATGGGGGAAAAGATGCAGGGATTAAGAAGTACAAATTGGTAGACTTAGAATAGAGACAGGGATGTTAAGAACAGTATAGGATGCAGAGTAGCCAAAGAACTTACAAGCATGAACCAAGAACATGAACTAAGGGGGAGGATTGCCAGAGAGAATGGGGGGTATTGAGTTGAGGGAAGCAAAGGGGAAAAAATGTGACAACTGTAATAGCATAAACAATAAAATGTATATAAAAATATATACACATAAATTTAAAATGGAACTGCCGTATGACCCAGAGATTCCACTGTTGGGAATATACCCTAAGAACCCTGAAATACCAATTCAAAAGAACTTAATGCACCCATATGTTCATCGTAGCGCTATTTACAATAGCAGGAATGGAAGTGGAGACTATTAAGAGAAATAAACCAGTCAGCGAAAGACAAATACCATATGACCTCACTTATAACTGGAAGCTAATGAACAAAATACACTAACGAGAAAAACAGAAGCAGAAACATGGAAACAACTGACAGCGGTAGTAGGGGAGGAGTGATGGGGGAATAGGGGAAGGGATTAGTCAAAGAACATGTATGAATGACTCGTGGCGTGGACATTGGAGAGAGGACTGATTATGGGAAAGAAGTGTGGACTGGGTGGAAGGAGGGCAAAAAAAGAAAAGAAAATGTATAAAAGCTGTGGTTGGTCTGGCTCAGTGGACTGAGCACCGGCTTGAGAACCCAAAGGTCACCAGTTCAATTCCCATTTAAGGAACACGCCTGGGTTGCAGGCCAGATCTCCCATTGGGGTGTGAGAGATGTGATCGATGTATCTCCCATACACTGATGTTATTCTCCCTCTCTTTTTCCTTCCCTTCCTCTCTCTCTAAAAATAAATAAATAAAATCTTTTTTTAAAAAAGAAAATGTATGAGAAAGCCCTTAGTCTGTTATGATGATTCTGAAGCAATCAGCAAGTGTTTTTTTAAAAAAATTATTTATTGATTTTTTTTTTTTGGTCAGAAAGAGACAGAGAAATATCGCTTTGTTGTCTCACTTATTGATGCAGTCATTGGCTAATTCTTGTGTGCGCCCCAATGCAGGATCGAACCTGCAACCTTGGCGTATCACAATGATGCTCTAACCAACTGAGCCACCTGGCCAGGGTAGCAAGTGTTTACTGAATACTTTCTATGTGTTTTGGTGCTACATGCATGCACTTGTGTAAAAATTTGGGGGAGAAGAGAAATAGTATAAGAGTTTTGCCCAACATAAGACATGGCTCTTGCTCTAGAGAATAAGAGAATGCTTTCTAGTTGAGGAAATAAAACTAATAAACATAGATAGCTTCATAGTATACAAAAAAATCGGTGTCATGTGCAGTAGAGAATAAAATTATTGCAGGAATTAAATAAAGACAAATTAATGACAGAGTAGTTAGGAGGTTTTCAGTAGTGGGATTTGAACTGGGCCTTAAAAATGGCTTTAGGCAGTAGAGAAGAAGATTTAGAAGATAAGAGGAGTAAGGCAGGTGAAGGTATAGAGAGAGGCAGGGTATGGGTATCATGTATATAGGTCAGGAGAAAAAGGTATGTCTAGGTCAAAAGATAATCATGTTAGGCATGCAAGTTGTATATAAAGTTAGGCAGGTACCATGGGACTACGTTATAGAAAGCCTGAAAGTCCAAGTATAAATAGCCTTAAAGTAAGAGAAAATAGGAATATAATGACAGATTTTGAGCAGAGGAGAAAAATTTAAGGAAGACTGGCTTTTCAACAGAATGTAAGATGGATTATAATGAGACTAGTCAAGGAGAGAGACCAGCTAGGAGACTATGGAGGAATCCAAGCATAATGAGAGTGGTGGCAGGAAGAGCAGGATGGAACAGAACAGAGAGAATATGACGAAAAAAAAAAAAAAACCAAAACCTTCAAGATTTTGAGTGTAATATCACTGAATTAAAAAAGGAGAAGGAGTTAGTTTACGGGACGAAGATACAAATTCAGTCACTGACATGAATATTTCAATGACAGAAAGCCAGCTTAGTTAAGTGTTTAATTAGGAGTTGCAATAGATGTGAGACACCAGGTCTTAATTTACAAATATGAGAATTACCAGCCTAGGAAGGATAGCTGAGGTCATGTGCAATGGGATGAGCACTCCAGAACAGCATGCAAAGAATAAAAGAAACACACTTTCTTTCCTTGGTACTGTCCTGTCTCAATTTCTTTCACTACTCCTAGAGACTCAGCACAGGCCTTTCCACACACACATTTGTAACCTCTCCAACTTGATAACCTTGCCTCATATGTATGTCTTTCATAAACTGTTTCTGATTAATTCCATTTTAATATTAATTCTCTTAGTATTTTTATTATTTATATTATTTACTTGTACTAGGCTACAAATACTAAAATTATTCTCATGAATATATGCCCTGACTTAATAAATTGAAGTATATGTTATCTACATATGAATCTATACCCTATTCACTCTTCCCTAAGACCTCTCCCAGGCTTTCTTAAGGATCATTAATGACGTGTCTCCACTCATGTGCTCTTCCAGGAATTACAATCTACCAGTTCTTAGCACGATGCCTAGTGTACCCAGTAGATATTCAGTCAATATTTGCTTATACAATAAGGAATGTGAGATCTGTAAGAGCAAGATCCTTTCTTCATGTATAGAAGTATGGAGAAAGGTTACTGAGGTAAGCTTCTTAACTCAGGCTAAATCAGAACTCCTTATGGTATCAAAAGAAAAGGCCCACTTTGGGTTTTTTTTTTTTTTGGTTGTATCTATCTAGCTGAAAATGGCACAACAGAACTGCTGCATGGGCCCTGGCTGGGTGGCTCGGTTGATTAGAGCATTGTCCTAATGCACCAAGGTTGCAGGTCTGATCTCCGGTTAGGGCACATACAAAAATCAACCAATAAATGCATCAATAGGTAGAATGACAAATCAATGTTTCTCTCTTTCTCATTCTCTCTCTCTCCCCCCCTTCTTCTCTCTTTCTAAAATCAATAAATAAAAAATGTTTTTTTAATATTTTGTTTTTCAATTACATCAATAAATGAAAAAAAATTTTATTAAAAAAGAACTGCTGCATGGTTTGAGAGGTTGCTGAGAATGGTCCCCTGAGATGGCATATGTAAGCAAGACAATATCTAAAACAACTGGTGAGAGGTTCCAGGTCACTCAAATTGGCTTAAAAAAGTCCCATGGACAAAATGTCTTGTTTGAGCTTTGGAAATGTGCCCTCAATGGTGTCTGGGTTCACAAGGAAAGCTGAATTTACGAACTGACATTTTGCCTGCTCGGGGAAAACTGACACCCAGTGGAAGAGAAGCAGCCAGACTAGGTCTGCTTCCTTGCTTTTGTTCACCACTTCACTGTGGGAAGGGAGAACTGTCAAAGGTATCTTTTGTCTATAAATCTTCCAAAGTCTTAATAAAAAAGAAGGCAAGGAAGGAATACACAAAACCTCAACACACCTACCCTCAAAAACCACAGAACCCAATCTTGATTAAATGCAGATCACATAAAGGCTCTTAATGGGAGAAGGGGAGTATAGCTCCCAGTACATCTGGTCCCTGGTATTAATCTTAACTGTCTAGTGATATCGAAGCACGTGGCTTCTGGGGCAGCAAATACCTGCAATGATGACTGAGTCAGTTCGAGCGGGGCCAAATTTCAATGTCATCTCATGCTTGTGTTTATGAACTGCCAGGTGGTCCTCGTTTGTAAATCTCTGAAATGAAACAGAAACGGAGATGTGAAAAAAAAAAAAAAGTAATTCAATGCCCTTTTAAAATGTCCTACCAAACATCCTGCGATAAGGTTGGTCGTTGGAAAGAGGGATTGCACAGGGAATGGTAAAAAGAAAAATTGGAAGTGATGGAAAAGGAGAGGTGATGGATTTAAAAAGAGAAAATGGGGAATGAGAAAAAGAGGCATTAGAAAGCTGGGAGGAGAGAGGAAGGGGAAGACTATAGCACCAACTGCTCTGTAATAAAGTCCAAATGAGAGAAATGGACAGATTGTTGCTGAAGTGGGGTCCAGGCAGGAGGCTCCAAATGAAAAAAACATTAAGGCAAACTCATAGTGAACAAGAGGAAAATAATTTTTAATAATAATAATAAAGAGAAAAGAAGGAAAAGGCTGGACACTCATTGGTCATCACAAAAATAGGAAATTCAGAATTAAGCTCTTTATGGTGGGGCTGAATTGAACTATTTATGAGGGGGTAACAGGGAGATAAATTATGCAGGATTAGGAGAACCATTTAACTTCCTGGCCCCCACAATGCTGCAGCAGGCGCCTGCTCAGCTATTTGGCTCAGGGTTTTAATGAGTCAGGATGGAGCTGTGGAGGAGAGAGGCCCAACGGCCAGCAGTAATGGCACATACCAACCCCATTGGCCAAATGCTGTCTCCCCTCACCCGGCAGCCTGCCTGGGCTCCATCAGCCATAAAGGGGCCAGTACGATGCTGCTGGCTATGAAATGGTAGAATAAAAGTACAAGCAAAATTTTTTTCTTGTTAGGGTAGGGGGAAGCTTGTAGGCAGGGTGAGGGGAAGGGAAAAGGAGAGGGTATAGACATTTTATTTATTTAGGAGTTTGGGTGAAAAGACAACGGAAAGGTGAGGCTAGAGGTCTGCCTCATTTTATGACTAAGTTAGACAGGGTTACTGGACAATGATTTATGCTCTGACCTGTTCTTCAGAAGGGGAGGTGAAGAGAACAGATGAACAGCAGTAATTCAAAAGAATACCATCAAAATTCCCTTTGAGGCTGGCTGGCCATGTTCCTTCATTAAAATATGCCTACAACACATAACGGCTTGGAAGCTGCAGTTTTTTCACCGCTCCTTCACCAGCCAGGCTCTGAAATATGGTTCTATTTGTCTTTTTGTTACTAAAAAATAATTGATTAGTTCCTTCTTTTTACTCTCCTCATTAGACACACTTTCCATCAAACACTGTAACTTTAGCCCTCTTTTCCATAGCCCTTCTTGCCTGTAAACTAGACTGAGGGTGGCCCCATCCTAGGTCCTATGTAGTCAAAAAGGCAACACTAAACTGTTTAAGTTGTTTTATTTTACCTGAAAGTAGTTTTCCCAAATTTTCTCTGAGCCCATATCACAACTAAAGCCAGCCTAAGATCCAAAACCCTTCTAGGTTAGGCCTAAAGGCCTAAGGGCAAAGGGAAATTTCAATTAAAAGTATGAAGAACCAAGAGAAGTAAAACAGTCAAAAGAAGAATGCCTTAGTGTTTCCAGTGGACCTGGGACAAAACTGAATAAAGTGTGAGGAAATTTAGCCAGGAACTTTCATGTTTCCTACTGTTGGTTAACCCTAGGCCTCAACGTTTTCTGTCACAGATTTTTTTTTTTCTGTAAGAGAAAAAAGATGGGGTGGGGTGAGAAGGGAAGAAAAAATAGTCTGTTACTCAGGGATATGATATTTGTTGGTTAAACAAGTCACTGTAAAGGGTCTGAGACTGCCAGGTATTCGGTAAAAGGGGATGTGCAAGAACATAGCCTACAGTGGATAAAAAGCATCGTTTTGGAAGACTAAGAAGAGCAGAGGATTAGATAGGGGTATAAATTTTCAAGATGCATTGGAAATGTTTTAACAATCTTTTTAAAAAATATGCTTATAAGTGCTTCAAGAAAATTTCATGTAGGTGGCTTAGTAAGTTTTGCACAATGTTCTAGAATCTAGAAGACTGACTTTCAAACAAAAAGTCTTTTTCTATTATCAGAAATATAGTTTGCTCAAAACTGAGCTGGAAGAGAGATTTTAAACTTCTATCAGGTTTTGCTCTGGTTATGACTGCTTAATATTTTAAAAGGCAACTCCCCTTCTGTTACAACTTTGCTGCACGGTCCTGACTTCTTTTATTTGTCCTCTAGTTCTTATTCACCCTCCACTCCTTTACATGACTTCCTGTTCTCCCTTGAACTATTTTTTCCAAATCCAAAGTTGGGGTCTGAAGAGAACTAAGGTGGCTGAAGAGATCGCCCCTCATCAGCATCTCAGAGGGTTTGATAACTGTGAATGTGGATAGAAAAAAAAGTTCACATCTTAATTCTCATTAAGCTCTAACTGAAATTTAACATACCTGATTCATAATAGCAATCACATATTTTCATATCACATTATAGCTATTAGATCTCAAAATATCCCTTATACTCACTACTTTGAAATTATAATAATCACCAGAACCACCATTAGAACTTGTTATTTAATGGATTAATAAAAAAGCACATATATTACATTATCAAATATTTAAAAAATGTTTGTCACACCGTATTTCAAAATAATTGGTTTCCTTTGTAGTCCTATGTATTTTTATTTATTTTTAAAAAAGATTTTAAAAAATTTATTTTAGAGAGAGGGGAGGAAGGGAGAAAAACATTGATGTGTGAGAGACACATGAGAGATACATCGGTTGCCTCTTGCACGCCCCCAAGCGGGGACCTGGCCTGTGCAACCCAGGCATGTGCCCTGACTGGGAATCGAACAGGTGACCTTTCAGTTCAGAGGCCAGCACTCAATCTACCGAGCCACACTAGGCAGGGCTATTTTATTAATTTTAAAATATTATCCCTGGCTAGTGCAGCCAGTAGACTGAGCACTGGCCTGAGAACTGGAAAGCTATGGGTTTGATTCCCAGACAGGGTGCATGCCTGGGTTGCAGGCCAGGTCCTGGGTTGGGGGTGTGCAAGAAGAGAGAGATTGATGTTTCTCTTGCACCTACTTCTCTCCCTCCCTTCCCCTCTCTCTAAAAATAAACAAAGATCTTTTAAAAAAAATCCATTGTTTTTTTATGGATTCATGGGCTTCACCAAACTCCCAAAGGGGGTCATGACACCACAAAAGTTAAGAATCCCTGACTAAATCAGGTAGTGCATTTCAGAGAAGGAGCCAAATCGGCCTACTCTTAAGAAGCAGGGGTCCAATCATCTCTCTCTGCTATTTCTGACACAATTCTTATCTGGCTAGAGTAGAAGGGTAAGAATTAAAGTTTACTAAAGCTTTTTATCAAAGGGAATGTCAATCTGGCTATTATTCTATTGTTCCTTATATTTCCTCTCATTTATTAAGAGTTAACTCATAATTCTCTAGATCAGTCTTGAACTAGATGCCTAGAAAACTCTCCTTCTGAAAGCAAATTCTCAATTAAAATATCTAAAATTATTATTATTATTATTATTATTATTGGCGGGGTCTCACTATGTTGCCCACACTGTAGTGCAGTGGCTATTCACAGGAGCAATCCCACTACTGATCCTGCATCCCATCGGCATAGTACACTACAGCCTGGAACTCCAGGTTTTGTGTGATCCTCCTGCCTCAGCCTCCCCAGTAGCTAGGACTACAGGTGCGCACCACCCATGCCTGGCTAGCTAAGATTATTAAGTGGTGAAAATTTTGATTTTCAAAAAAATACATATATTATTCTATTGAATTAAAATGAGCTCCCCCCACAAATTTCCTTTCTGAATTATTGCCTATTTAAAATCTAGCTGTTACATTTGTTAATACTCTTACTTGGTCTTCCTTTGTTGTTTGGTTTTACCTATGACTAACATTTTGGCAAAGAACCACTCAGGGAACACTCACTCTGGTTGTAGGGAAAACAATGATGATTTCTAATAAGTGTGCAGATATTAACCATCTCCAAGACACAGAGGATAAATATCATTCAAAATGGGGGCTAAATAATTTGAGTCATACTGGATCAGGAAGGCAGTTTATATGCCTTGGGAGAGGATTTACATGGTAACACAGGTTTAGAGTCTTATTTGCCCAAGCAAATAAATCAGGACAGTGTCTTAGCATAAATGGGAGGGGGGGAGTATTTACTATGTGCTAATTTCCACTGTATCTAGATACCAAGGTGCCTTATATTGGCCCTATCCAATAGGGCAGCGACTAGCCACAAGTGGCAGGTGACCAGTTGACTTGTTGCTAGATGTACTATATGTCAAAACACACACTGGATTTTGAAGACTTTATACAAAAAAAGAGAAAGAGAATATAAAATACCTCATTAACTTTTTGCTGATTACATGTTGAAATGAGAATAGCCTGGACATACTGGGTTAAATAAAATATATTATTATTTTTTAAATGTATTTATTTTTAGAGAGAGGGGGAAGAAGGAATGAAAGGGAGGGAGGGAGAGCAAGACAGACAGAGAGAGAGAAAGAGAGAGAAATACCAATTTGCTGTCCCACTTGTTTATGCTTTATTGGTTGACTCTTGAATGTGCCCTGATAGGGGACTGAACCCATAACCTTGCTATATTGAGATGACACTCCAACCAACTGAGCTACCTGGCCAGGGCAATAAAATATATTATTAAAATTAATTTCACTTGTGTACTTCTACTTTTTAATGTAGCTCCTAAAAAATTTAAAGTTACATGTGTGGCTTGCATTAGTGATTTGCATTATATTTCTTTTAAACAGCTCTGATCTAGATAATATGTTCAAAGCTCTGATAGGAATTTTAATTATAAGCCAATCTTGACTCTTTCCCCCACAAACCCATTTTTCCTAAATGTAATTTATACTATATGGCAGTGGCTCTCAACCAGGGGCAGCTCCGCCCCCTCCCAGAGGACATCTGACATGTTTGCTTGTCACAATCGGGGAGGTGCTACTGACATCAAGATGGTCGAGGCCTGAAACACTGATAAATATCCTATAATGTACAAGACAGCTACCCGAAACAAAGA